CTAGGGTTTTTCGCGGAGAAAATTCTTTCGATTTGCTAGGGATTTTCGCCTCAAAAAGTGACTTCCAAAAAAAAAAAAAAAAACGAAAATTTGTCTGATTTGCTAGAGAATTTTTTGTTTTTGAAAAATCGATCCCCCTCCTGTAAAATGTAGCTCGCACATTACTGATATAAATATATTCTTTTTAGTTTTTTCTCGTAACTATTTTTTTTACACTTTTTTGTGTCAATTTCGGTAATTTTGTTAATTAAAGTCTTCAACACATTTTTCAACAGGTCTTGTAAGATAAATGGTTCAATGAAATATTTCATCAAGACATTACTGAAATAATGCACGTGTAAGATCTTGAAAAAAAAACTAACTCATTAAAAAACCAAATGTAAAAAGGTCAAAATGTAGACATTAATGAAGAAAATAATTATCTATAAATATTCTGACATGCGCCAACCACGATCAACAAAACATTATCACCTAACATTTGTTATCTTTGAGCACCAAAATTGAATGTTTTTGTTGCTTTTATTGATGTCAGGCAACAAATGCCATGGCCCCCTCATTATCGAACATTCAAAGTTCAACATCACAAGTTTCTTCCGGACATTTTCACACTATTCTTTCAACATTATGTTTCTCCTTATTATTATTGTATGTTGTAAATTCACAAACATTTTTTTATTCTCTTTTTTCAGATTTTTTCTTAAATTCTTCTTAAAATGTAATCAAAATTGTTTGAAAAATGCTGGAAACCCACGAGACATGCGAAGATTTCAAGTAAGTTGTGTTTTCTCTTCTCTCTTATAATATATGTAGATAAACGACTGCATCGCTGAGCTATATTTCTGTCAGCTCCAAAATTAAATTTAATGTTACCATGGGACTTACCAAAGAAGAAGTCTTTAAAAATGCCCATTAAACTAGTGACGAAGTAGAAATATTTTGCGAACAATACAGTGACTTAACTACAAATTGTTGAACGTCCACTGAACTCAATTCGAATAACAAAGAACCGAAGAGAGAAAAATGCAGCCTGAAAAATGTCTGTTTCACCAAATTAATGGTTATATATTTGCGTTCGATGAAATTCCACACAATTCTATGCCACAATGCTCGATTAATGTGCATTTTGGTCAATAATCGTAACCAATTTGCAGCGGAGAAGGGAAAAAAAACCGGCGAAAGATTTATTTCTTTCGTAGAATTCTGGCATTGCAAGCAGAAAATGGAGAAATCGATAGTGTGGATTTACTCACTTTTTTTTCATCCAGTTGATTCACATAAGTTTTGTTATCTATTTGCACTTTTTGTCTTGTGGATTTTTTCTTCTTTCCGAAATTACCCATGGCAAGCATAACCAGTGATTTCGCAACGTAATGGACATGGCAAATGATTCAAGCCATAGCATAAATATATATTAATGTTGGATTATAGCATTTCAATGCTGCTTTTTTTTTTGAAGTCAAAATTATAAAGCTCTTTGTTACCGTCCGATTTTTTTGTTCACCCTATTCGATTTTTTAAGAGTAAAAAAACTTTCGATTATTTTTGGTACAGGTAGTGATTGCAACGCAGGTTTCGGTTGAAGGTCCACTGATGGCTATATCTGACCAAATGTTCGTGCACAATAATTCAAAGCACGGAAGACGAGCCAAGCGATTGGACGCTAGTGATGGTACATCACCGTTATCAATTTCACATCCATTGGCTCCAGACAGTACGTACGATGGTCTGTGTTTTGTATATTTTACGCATTTTATAAACAATTCTTTTCTAAGCTTACGTTAGCTTACGATTGATTCAATTTATTTTGATTTTCGTCGTTTTTCGAAATTTTCAATGTTTGTTTTTTGTTCGTTTTTAATCTCGCGAAAACCAAGAATTCGACTGTATGCCAAATGTGATTTGTTTTGATAGCCATTTCTAATTGATAAATTTTTCATTATCATATAGTCCTTATAAAATATATATTTAATCGTAATAGGTCTCTATCCACCGATGCCTGTTGCAACACCATGTATAAAAGCAATATCACCAACTGAAGGATGGACCATTGGTGGTGCACAAGTTATTATTGTTGGCGATAATTTTTTTGATGGCCTTCAAGTTGTGTTTGGTACGATGCTCGTATGGAGTGAGGTAAACATCTTGTGTTTAAAATTAAAAAAAAAAATACTGTATGATTCAAAAAAATAGTGTATGATGCAAATTTATGTCTTATATATTTTCAGTTGATAACATCGCATGCAATTCGAGTTCAAACACCACCACGGGTACCACATAATTTTTTTTTTCACTAACGAATAAAAATAATTTCATATTGTACAATTTGTAATTTAGCTTTTTTTTAAATTTATAATTATTTTTACAGCACATTCCTGGCGTGGTTGATGTTACTCTATCCTATAAAAGTAAGCAGTTTTGTAAAGGTCAGCCAGGCCGTTTCGTGTATGTGTGTAAGTATTTTATTCGCGATCATTTTAATAACGAATTACGGTCCATGTTGTAATGTTGGTATGTATTTTAACTTTTCGTTTTTAGCTTTAAGTGAACCAACACTTGATTACAACTTTCAACGATTACAAAAATCAGTGCCGCGACATCCAGGCGATCCCGATAAGCTACCAAAGTAAGTACTTATTTGTTTACGTCAATTACTCAGAGAAATTGAACAGTGTAAACACAAATGTTTGTTGTGTATTTCGCCCATTTACACTGACATTTCACACACAGTGTGAAACGTCGAATTACCCACACTACAATAACAATGATGTGAATTCGACATTTTACACTGTGTGTGTATAACGTCAGTGCAAACCGTCATTTTACACTTTGATTTTGCAAGTTCAGTGTAAAATGATTTTTCGTAAAAAAAACTATTTTTTTCAAATGATAATTTTTTTTCATGTTTTTATTTTATTGTTAAATATTCAATGAAAGATTTGAAATATAATTTGATTTGAAATTGATGTGATTTATAGTAATATTTTGCTCTTGAAACTTAATTATATCACTTCTTTTGGCTCTTTCAATATGCAAAATAGATTACATGATGAAAAACAAATAAAAATTATCGCAAATATGAGCGTGAGATACGAATTTTTTTATGTTTTTACAACACACCGGTAAACTTTTTTTAGAGCAAAATATCACTATAAATCACATCAATTTCAAATCAAATTATATTTCAAATCTTTCATTGAATATTTAACAATAAAATAAAAACATGAAAAAAAATTATCATTTGAAAAAAATAGTTTTTTTTACGAAAAATCATTTTACACTGAACTTGCAAAATCAAAGTGTAAAATGACGGTTTGCACTGACGTTATACACACACAGTGTAAAATGTCGAATTCACATCATTTTTGTTGTAGTGTGGGTAATTCGACGTTTCACACTGTGTGTGAAACGTCTGTGTAAATGGGCGAAATACACAACAAACATTTGTGTTTACACTGTTCAATTTCTCTGAGTAGATATAACGATTTAATAACAAACCATTTTTCTTCTGTCGCTAGGGAAATTCTGCTTAAACGAGCAGCTGATATAGCTGAAGCTCTTTATTCGATGCCAAGGTTAGAATTGAATTCGATTTTTCTTCAAAAAAAAAAAATTCAATACAATCGATAGCAATTGACCACTAAAACTTTTCTTTTTGATAAAGATCACCAAACAGTTCGAGTACATTCAATTCGTACGCCGGTCAATTGGCAGTAAGTGTTCAAGACAGTAACGCACAATGGACTGAAGATGACTACCAACGAACACAGACCAGTAGTGTAAGTCCACGCGGTGGCTACTGCAGTAGTGCATCAACACCACATTCATCCGGAGGTGGTTCGTATGGTGCTGGCAATGGAAATGGCTATGCACCAAATATGGGCACATTATCAGCGTCTACATCGAGTGTGTTTAATTCTACATCAAGTAAGTATTTGGCTTTTCAACATTGCTTCAACTACTAAACGGTTATGCATGATCATCTGCTTTAACTGCAAACGCATCCAATAACATAGTTTAGTTATTAATATTTTATTTGATTCTTTAGTTGTTGAACGTAATCAGAACTGTTCAGTTCGCTATCTGCATAGCTGCTGGTCACAGAATCTAGCTTTGCTAAGTGACACAGCTTCTTACGATACATAATTTTCCTATAATAATCCTATCGAATATATATTAAAAAGCGGCTGATGGATAGCGTATGCACAAATATTAGTTAGTGTCAAGTTTAAACCTTTTTTTTAGTAAACTACAATCAATTATATTTTAATAAATTGTTATTGTTAAATGAGTAAAGAACAGAGAATGGAATTTTTAATGGATTTCACTGACAGTCTAGAGAGACATAAATCTCATTTTTGTTGTGTATGCGTCACAGTAATTTTATTTGTAGAATATTCAAAATAAATGGTAACACACGTGGATGACACATATATGAGATTGGAGACTTTTTTATGCGAGTCTCGCTAATCAGCGCCATCATACCTGACATCCCTCAACTAAATTTACATCTCTAGCATGTAAACAAATTTGCTCTATGTAACGTAACACAAATGCACATATTTATTATTTATTTTTATTTTAAGTAATATATTTTTCCTTTATAATAATAATATATTTTTTAAATTTGATTTTATTTGAATTTTTGAACAAAACTATATTTTTTTTTTATGATGAAAATGATGAAATATTATTTTTCTCCAACGTCTCCAACCAAATTTACGTAATGTATTTTACGTATTCATGTTTTTGACAAGTCATTTGTCAATTTAGATTTATGACATTTCGTCATTTTTCGCATTTTGAAGTCGCTGTAAATAGCGTTATAAAAATGGTGAGAAATAAATATTAGACTGATATATTTTTTATCAGTAATTTATTCTTTAAGTTTATTTTATCTCTTTATTTTGTTTTTTACCAAAAGCTGTGTATTGTTTTATGTTTGTTTTTAAATATTTTATGTAACCTAACAAATGGGTTGGTGATTTGATTGATATTGAAACAGGACGTTCCAAATTGACAAATGACTTGCCAAAAACATGAATACGTAAAATACATTACGTCAAAAATTTCACAATCTCTCCCATCTCTCCAAGCCAACAGATGGCATTAATGTAAACCATTCGCAATGTGTCTCTTCTTAGAGCCATCCACTTGTGGTAACACAAATGAGTGTCTCATTTGCGGAAACTGATAGTATCTTAGTTAGTCTATAGTTTATCTACAGACTTGTCATTTGCGGGTGATTTCTTTTCGGTTCATTTGCCAATGGTCTGTAAATGAGATTCGATTGTACCAGCTATCGGGTATTGAAACAATTTTTTTTAATTGGTTTCTACTGCATACACTTAAAGCATTCACATAAGACGAGTAGTTTTTAAACTCAATTTAGTACAAAAAAAATGGTATATTTGTTATTCAAAAAATCAACGAAAACCAACTAATGAAATCATTCGAAAATGAGTTTGTATGAGAAATGTCTAAAACGGTTTCAATCCCTGTCAGCTATAATAGTCAAATTCCCATAGTGAATTCAAACAATGAACCATATTTTTTTTCCATTGCCATTAGAATAATTCTTGTGTTTGTTGGATGTATAATATGTTTTGATTGAGAAATATTTATTACTTGAGCTAGTATTTAGTTTCTGTTATGTGTTTTGAGATGTGATCGTTTAATAAACAAATTTTAATTCATTAAAAACAAATCTATTCGCTTATCGCTCAGCTAGTGCCTTTGCACCATTAGTAACCACATCATCAGCTTGGCATCAAGCTTTAGTCCCTGTTCACACATCAACACACCAAACCTGGCATAATCCTTCTGCTACAACAGCCACAGCTGTTTAAATTGACCACTCCTGAAGCCGTTCGACACACATATATATACCATACCACATAAATGAGCAAAAAACTAAAATAAAATACAAAAACCAAACAGCAAATGTTCTTTCGACACACCACCGCTTTCCAATCATTTCTAAAAGTAATGTTAGTAAAAAAATTCTAAAAATTTATTATTGCCATATTATTATTATTTATTTATTTTTTTACTTTCGAGACCTCATAATTTCAATATTGTAATTTGTTATTGTGTTTGAATAGCAAAAAGAGAAAGGATCTTACTCTTTTTTGTCAAATCAAATACATTTTGATTTATGCCCGTCAAATTAGTTTTTTTTTTGTTTGCTTGCTAACCAAATCAACACCAGCAACATTCTTTAAAAAGAAAATTATTTCAAAAATTGAAACTAAATGTTCGCCTTATATTAATTATTTTTCTATAACAAAACAGGAGTTGGACTCGTAAGTGTAAGTGGTTTCAATCCTTTTGCTTTGCCCACCTGTAATTCTCAAGGCTATTCACCTAGTCCATTGATAGCATCGTCCAAGTAGCAATAAAATGACTTTCAGCCATGCGTTAACTGAGAAAAAAATCACCTGGTATGATATAATCGAATTGTATTTATGTTACAAAAAAAAAATGATCGTAGTAAAAGTCGTATTTGGAATCAAATGAATGGGATTGACATTTACATGTGTGAGACAACGCTTAAAACCACTTATAGTATATACATAGTGAATTTATGAAAGTTTAAACAATGTGTAACTTTTAACGAGCCAAAATCATTTAAACACGATGTAGTGAGACAACAACAACAACAACAACAAACAACAACAACAAAAATATTGAAATAAAAAGTTTCGATACTTCTGTCATTTTATTTAACACGAATTTAATTTAATTCAATTATATACCGGCATATTTAACTAGCGATTTTCGAAATCGAATAAGATTTTCATTCGATTCTTAGCCCATTAAAGATGACATGTCAAAATAATTACGTACAAAAAGTAAATGGAATTATTCAAATGTTTGTGAGAGCCATAAATTTAATATTAAGAAAATAAATTTTACTCAAATTTGATGTTAAATTAATCACTCTCATTTGAAATAAAAAAAATTCCATTCATTTTTCTTGTAAATGTGTGTGTGTGAGTGTTTGTTAAAGAATTCGCCTTGGTATATATTTATGGGATAAAGTACTTTATACTCAAAAATATTTATGTCTAGATCCAGATTCATACATCCTTTTCTCAAAAAATTACAATTAATCTCCCATATGGACTTGTTAATTGCATACATAAAAATGTATTATTACTATACGCAACAATCCTGTTCCCAATATGAAGTGCAGCATTTCTGAACACACACACACACATACACAAACGAATTATTTTAATTTTCTATAAATTCGTGTAAAATTTTGATTTATCCATGCAAATTTTAATTTAATTCTTAAATCATTTGGAAGCACTAAGTATTTTAGACATGCTTTGTTGGTTTTAAAGAATTTGTTTAAAATTTACATGATTTATGATATCAAAATTAAAAAAAAACATACAGTATTTTTAAAAAGGAAGTTAGTTTGTGTGTGCAACTAATGAAAACGATAGACAGTGTTCAATCTTTTGAGCACAAACTTTTTTTAGATAAAAAAAACTTTTGTTAAGGATTAAATGTATGTAAGAAAATGTTGTAATTATAAAACAACACTGTAATTTAATTGTTGTAATTCAAAAAAATGGTCAAATATATTATTGCACATATTATCAAGTCAAAAAAATAAGGTAAAGTTTTCTCATTATCCAATTTCAAACTTTGCCAATATATAATCCTCACAAAATTAAAAAAGAGAGAAAAATGCAGCAGTACGCAAACAAAATGTGGATAATTTCTATATCTATGCACATTTATAAACAGTACAAAAAGAGTGTCAAGCTGCTATCAAATCGATCATCATCTCTATCACTTTTCACTAAAAATATATGTTCTGTTTGAAAACTTGAATAAAGTTTATGATTGAGACCTAAGTTTCATATTACTTGAATGGAAATATGTAAAAAAATAGCTAATGTCACCCGACAATGGTCGGTGATTCCTCTTCTCAGTGCAATGAATCTTTTTTATGTATATCAGCCAAACACTAATTTACACGACGTTATTGAAGAAATCAACGAGAATCTCAATATAACAAACTAGAAACAATTAAGCCATAATTTACATATCATTTCTTTAAATCTCTTTCTAAGAAACATTTCATACAATCATCTTCAAAATGGAATCATTTTTCAATTACAAAACGCATGTAGCGTTTCCAGACATTGCAATTTTTGCACATTTCCCAACTTTTCTTTGTGTTATTAAAAACGATATCGACTGGAAAAAAAGTAATTGAAGTCATATTTTTTTATAGTTTGAATTTTTTTTAAATAGAATTTCAACATTATAAAATATCACACAATTCATTTCACTCTTAAACAAAAATATGACATCACAGAAAAAAAATATAACAATTAAATACTTATTCAGTAGTTAATACAACGAATATCTCAAGAAATTAGCCATTTAAATTTAAACAAAACAAAAAAAACACAAAAATACATTGTAATAGCAAATATTTTTTATTCGTCATATTTCAAAAATACATGTACACAATTAAACTTTGATCGAAATAAAAATAAGTTAAAAAATAAAACGCTGATTTTAATTGATTTTCAGATATATGGCGATTTAGCAATATGAAGTACCAAATCAATGTGAATAAAATACTGTTTTTTGAATTTTCAAATAGTGTTGATTGAATTGAACCCTAAGCGCCATCTATTGGAGTTTGTTTTTTCAAGCGATTGCACTTTAATCAATTGAAAAAAATAAAACAATAAAGGCCGTATAAATATTTTCTTTTCCTGAAATTAAAATTAAATTAAATAAATTATTTATTTTTATTTAAGCGATAAATGAATCATGAAATTTGAAATACAGACATTAAAGTTGTATTGGCTCGTGTTAACATTACTCTCTCCAAAATAAAAAAATGAAAAATGGAAATATTCCATTGAAATTGGAAACGATTCATGTAATCTACGTTCCATTTGATACGGAAATGACGTCTGTGATGCAAAACATGTTTTAAGATTATCAAAATATTTGATACAGAGCCTTGGTAGTACTTCCTCGAAATGCTGAGACACAACAGTCAGTCTCAGTTAGTGTAACAAAATTACAATATTAATTTTTAATTAATTTTCGAGTTAAAATGGTGATTGGTTATGCTTAAGGCTGTTGATTATTTTGAACTGCTTGTTGTCGACGTGGTCTGTGCAATGTTAGCGGGATATCCAGTCCAAACAGGTTACAATGTCCTATATACAGACATAACACATCTATAATATGCAAATGTCCATTTCTTATATACATACCTTTGATGAGAATGCATTTGGCGGCCACGATATTACGATCCCAAGTTGTCTGATGCACAATCATTGGTTGTTGCTTGTCATCGATTTCCGTCACACAATCATCATCGACTGTACACGGTTGTTGAGCGACCTCTCCATCGATTTCCGCTGCATTTTCATCATCAACTGCATGTGGTTGTTGATCGACTTTGACGTCAGCATATTCCAATACACCACTCACTGCGTTTACTTGCCATTTTTTTGGATACACGGCCACCTTAGACAGTAAACGATCAGCTATAATGTCGAAATCATGCTCAGTCATTTCCCCTCGAGCCAGAAATACCACCAAACTCTCTTCAATATAAACTTTGTTATACTTTAAACGCCGTTTGCTGAGCTGTGCCATGATTTTCGATGGTAAAAAGTTAGCCATGATTGAATTTGGCACCGGTGCACAATTTTCACAAACTTTGAAACGGTTGCTTTTGGTGTTTGGATCGAATCGTCCGCCACATTTTGCGCATGTCTGCGATGTGAAATACTCATCGACTTTGCGCACGACACAATTGCCACGTTTTCGAAAACCTTTTAAAAGTTTGCGTGTACCGGGACAGCGCACATGCTTCTTAATGCGTATTGGCGAATTTGGTGAATGAATCAAAGCTGCTTGATGATTAACCAAAGTGCCGCAAAGTTTATCTATAGTACTATTGGACTCAACATACTTGTCAAACTTCAAGCGCGCATATTTTGGTGTAGTGTACACGTCCATTCCTTTCTTGAGCATTTTTATCCGATGGCAAATGTAATCAGTCCAAAGTGTACCAAGCGGTGATGGCATTCGCTGGTACAGCTGTCGATTGTTTCGATCATTTTGCTCATCCAAAGTGAACTGCTTCGTCCAGCGCTTGGCCTTTTTGTCGCGCATTTTATATTTCGTGAGCCAATGGTACTTTTTACTAGATGTTTTCAAGTTGACCTGAAATTAAAATTAAAATAAAAATCAATTGAAAATTTTGTTTGTTTGCTTCATTCACGTAACATATAACTCTCGATTTTTTAACAATGCTAAAGAAAAATTAAATACTTACTTCTTTGCGAGTACTGATGGTTCTTCGAACAGTCGCATTCCATGTCTTCATACCCGGATCGATTCCCAGTTCATAAACAAACGTTCCATCTAAGTATCGCTTTCTCACAATGTCATCATCCAGCAACCGTTGAAGATGTTGTTTTGACAATTTATACATAACCGATACTGATTCGCCGTTGCTGACAATAGTAAAATGAAACTCTTTGTTTTTCTTCAATATTCGATTGATTTTGTCAAAATCGAATATTTGGTTCCAGAAGTGTTCTTTGTTTTCGCGAATGAAATTTTCGGTAACTTGTTTACCTTCGACTTTTGGAAGGAGTTTCTCTTCTGCCAACATTCTGTAGAAAACATCATTGCACATGAACACTGCCTTTCGCTGATAATCTGGCAATGGAACAACAGACAGATTTTTGATCTTCGGTATTGTGACGTTGTTGTCTTGTGCCCAATTGTGAAACTCATCGATTTCGCTTTGCATGACAAGCCACATTGCAGTTGCTTTGAACCAGTATTTGCCTTTTGAGAACTGCTTGATGTTGTCATAATTCGCTAGTCCACCAACCTCTTCCACAATTGCACGAACCATGTCAAGCAGCAACTTTCTTTTGTATCGTTTAAGAGGTGCATTCTGATGTGTGTCTCGAATGGCATCATAGCGTCGAATTGCCCAATCAATTGCATTGTCAACATCCTTTTTATCGAACCTCAAACCGGTTGACACTGCATTAAACTGCCAAGCTCTCATTTGCAAATAATTTCGCAGCCGCTTCTTTGCATGTGTCGTTTGATTCGTTTTCAATTGGCGCGTATAACTTTGGCATAACGATTTCATGATGTTACCGAAATAATTGTTGTTTGGCCAGGCAAATTGATTGTCTCGGCTCAGTCCTTGCTCAACAAAATGACGAATGTGTGGTTCCATGTCCTCGTTTTCTTTGTTCTTTTGCAAAACTGCATAAAAGCAGCGCTCAATCACATCTTCGGCACGATTTTTTTCAACCAATTTTCCTTTCACAACATACATTTTATTCGTGAAAAAGTCCCATTGGCGATTGCTTTGCGCGGACTTCACTTTGTCAAGGAACAGCAATGACGCCAAAACGCTGATCTTTGTTGACATGACACTTTTCTTTTCGATCCAATGTATGACAACATCATGGTACTCCGGCCGAACAATTGTTGTGAGGCGCATTTTTATCGCTAATAAGCCATTGTCATTGAAGTTTTCATCCTCGGCCTCCTCCTCTTGTTGCTTTTTTGTTTGATATTTATATCGTTTCTTTTTCGCCTATGCAGCCGATGTTTCACCACTTGTCGACATGTTGAACTGCAACGAAATAGAAATGTATTTTGCACTGTGTAATTTGTGAATGAATTGAATCAAAAGAAAGCACATAAAACGTAGATAGAATTAACACTTGATCTTACCTGATTGATGGTCACGACTGAAGTGATATTCAAAATCGAAAAAGAACTCTCTCGAATGCACATCACACTAACACAGTCTAAAGTTGTATCGAAATATTTGCAGTTTCAGCTTGAGAACGTTTTGTTGATATCAAAACAAAACAAAATCGAAAACAAGTTTCACTGAAAATATCTCTCTTGAAAGTTATCGATTGACAATGATCCGAATGTTGAATCTATTGTATTCATAAAAAACCATCAACAGAGTGAAATTAACTCCTTCAAAAGCATAAAACAAATACAAAATACGCCGACACATTCAAATTATATGTTTTAGCACTTTAACAATCGAATGCATAGAAATTATGCAAGGAATGCAAATTCAAATAAAAAAAAACAATGATTCTTACAAGTTTCACCACGTTTAAAATGTGACAGATCATTCGAATAACACACAACTCACACTGCATTCCGATGTAAGAAATATTCCTATGCTGTAAAAACACAAATTTTTTGTTTATAAACCGTTTGAATAAGGAAATTGTATGTGCTGAACTAATGAACGGACTCACAGTTTGTGAATGTGTAAACACTAACAAGCAAACGAAACGGCATGATTATTAGCCTGTCGCCATGAATATACTCAAATCTGTATGGACTGCTGTGTGTTAATGTGTTGTATGGACGGCTTGTGTGTTAATGTTGATTCAAATCATATACAGACTTCACTGGCCAAAAATTGCTTACACAGAGTTGTGTTGTACGATTCTGAAAATGCGTTTAACATAAATACTTTCTTTTGTTTATTTATCGAATTCAAAGGAATCGCAACAATAAGTTATCAAAGCAATCGAATAGAGTCTATATATGTGCAAGCGACAAAGAAAAAAAACTTCAAACTTCATGCGTTTCATATTTCTTTTTGGCTTCGGGAAGTGCCATTGTCAATCGCTTTGTTATATGAATGCCATTAAATAATATAAAATTCTGTGTTCTTTGAATTCAAAAGTACCATTTTCTCATTTAGAGACATGGGAAACACCCTACTCTACACTCAACACCGTCGATTGGATTGTAAAAAATTGCTATTGGATCGTTGTAATGCGTGCTTAAATGTACCTATGTGTGAGTATGAAACACGTTTATCGTTGTTGATGTGATCGACGGAGTTGTTACTGCGCTTACTTTATTCATGAGTTGAAAGTGGTGTAGATCGGTTCATTTGCTATAGTATTGTAAATATATCTTTACAGTGCGAAAAAAAAAGTTTTGATTTTTGAATGTTAATTTGAACATTTAAAAAATGTATTTCTTTTCTAAGAAGTGAGTGAACGAAAAATAAAAAATCTAAGCCTTATGACCATTTATTTAAAATTTCATTTAAAATTGAATTAAAAAGAGTGTGACGTTGAAGTCATTTTATTTATTCTCAAATTGATTGTATGTGAAATTTTATTGTGAAAGACACAAAAGTGAATTCAAAGAAATAGAACCAAATTAAATTTCAATTGCAAAACTATCATTTTATCTTACAATTCTACAATCTACAACGTCAAAGGAACTTGACCAAAAGGAATACATTCATTCTGTTCGTTTGACTTCACTTCATTATATTTTTTCAATTTGGGCGCACATTAAACACAATCGTAAGTTATTCAACTTTCATTTAAAATTTACATCGAAAAAATTGTAATATTAAGCTATTCTTTCTGTAATAAAACCAAAACTAGTTATGTAAAATTCGTGAATTTTTAAATTATATTTTTTCCTTTTTATCTAAACTGACAAAAAATACCGTTTCGAATCAATAATGTAAACCCCGAATTGGAAAACAAGTATTGTAATCTCAATGGATGGGCTTGAAGTGTTATTTAAAAAAAAAAACGTGTAAAACAAAAATTTCCAGACAAGATTGCAAAAACTATACACAATTCGTTTTTGACTGAGATTCATAAAAAAAATCTTAACATATCCAGTAAGGTGATCAATTTGACGATATTTATCAAGCCAGTTAATGAATTCTGCCTCTCTTGTTTTGAAAAAACGAACAATCGCCAACAATATGTTGTGTTACTACACACGCAAAAAAGTTAATCTGCTACTCTTTTTTTTCTTTGTACGATAAATATATTACCAAAAAAATAACACAGACTAGAAACACAAATTCTGCAAATGGAAGTGGTCATTCCAGTGATTGAGAATAACACTTCAGGAGAATACTTGTATATATTGTAGCGAACTGATAGTGACCTGAAAAGCTTGAGGCTGGATTATTTTTTATTTCTATAAGAATGAAAAAAATTTCATATTTACAGAACTAGATAAGAGCAATATTTGATTTGTATAAAATCTCTCATTCACACTAAATTGAAATATTTTGGAAACTTTTTTTTGTATGGAATATTAACCATTCGGTTGATATAATTTGAAGAATTTACTGTCCAACGTTGAATCGATTCTCAATACATTCTTGTTACATCGTAATCTTCATTCAATATTTTTCTTTGTATGTACGATTATTAATCGCCGATTAGAACATGCATATATATATTGAAAAACAGCTCAAGGCAACAGGCGAGTTTTTAATGAATAAGCGTATACATGGGGCTAATGACAACATTTAAGACAGACATCGCAGAGTTCTAAGAAATTGTAATTAACAACACTGTATGCGATTGAATCATTCTTGTTTGTGCTAATATTGAACCAGTCACTCAAGTATATATACCATAATATATATACTTCCTCTCATTGAAGACAATGAAAAAAAAACTGAAATAACTACTGCCTATTTGAATGATTAAAGAACCACCGAAAGATGTTGTCCACATGTGTTAGTTTGAATTAATACAATAAATATGCTATTTGAACTTTAATAATAAAATCAAAATTAATGTTTAATGTTGATTTAAACCTTAAATAGTGTAAATAAAAGTTTTTCTTATGCAACAGTTTTTGCTATGTCTCTATTGCAATGATACATTGCACAAACGCAACTCCCAGTGACTTATGATAGGAACTAGCATTAATTTTTACAAAGAATCATTGAATTTGATTTTTTTTCTCAAGTGCTCTGAAAGAAATCCCCGTCACTAAATGTACTTGGCTTGTGCAAGCATTAGAATTTATAATATGCAAATTGAATTCTAAGTACAACACCACGAATACTGTGAGAATTCTATCGTCTTGTTTTTGCCGTAATTGGTGTAATTCATTGCGAATTCACATTATGCATTGTTATTGTACAGTAGAAACTATATGAACATTTATTCTCTCTCTAAGTCTCAACATGAATATTTTTTCATAGACAAAAGTGAAAGACACGTGTTTCATTGCATGAAATCAAAAGTAAATCATTTCAGTTCCAATCAATATACAATTATACATACATAGAACATCGAAGCAACCAATTCAAATTAAATACGTTTTTGTAGAAAATGTACATTTGAGTCTAAAGAAGTTCACAGACTTTTGATAATTTAGACCAAATTCAAAGCAACATTTTATGAAATCAATATTATACAGGCAAATGATATTATTTATTTCGGGTCATATTAATAAACAACCATTAATTATCATATGTTGTCTAACTATAATGACAACACGCATATTCTTTTCATTCTATGATCCTATAAAATTTACTGATCAAATTTCATTCAGAAATTAGGTCATACACTTTCTATAACTTTTAATATAAGATTATATTTCATTTAGCACTTTAGTATTCATCTGAATATTTATTTATTTGTAGATTCTTTCACATTAATATAATAGAATGTTTATTTTGTATTACATTTCATACATTTCTTATAATAAATATAATTTTGAAGTAAAAAGTGTAAAGAGATTTTGAAGGTCGATCTGCAATTTTTTTTCTTTAAAAAAAAAAAAAAAAAACTGAATTTAAACATATGAAATTCAGTTTTTGCTTTGAGTTCGTACAATTATTTAACATCCGAGTTTTAAATAGTTGGACTCAATTAGTTCACCGCACATACAATATCTGTGAAAAAATATAGCGACTGCAGTCAAAGAGTTTTGCTTTGTCTCCGGTTTTTAGTGTACAAGCGAATTCGTTCACACAACATAGTAGAAGAGACAGAGCGAAAAAAGCAAACAGAGACTTACATATCGCGGAGCAGCGAAACACAAGTATAAAAAAAAACAAAAATGCTGCAAAAGCAGGTAACTTTCTATTCGCCTCTGACGTCAATTCTCACCGTCTTCTTTCTTATTTACCACGCAGAAACATATATTAAAACCAGTCTCGACTCGTAACTGCAATGGAATTCCATGAAATTAACACAAAACACTCAACGGTTGGAAATATATGTATACTTATATATCGCAATAAACTAGTAATCGTTAAAAGGCCGATTCAAAGTCACCATTGAAAACGAAACGAAATACACGAAGAAATAGAATTGAAAGAAGAAGAAAAAAAGAGATGGATTTCATAAACAATAATATCATAATTGAATGTAAAAACAAAATTTTTATTTCTTCATGGCACAATTTATTCTGGTCTAGCAATTGAATTATCGAGAAATGCATCATTGTCGTCATCGTTCTTATTGTCCAATACGAAAAATTATTTACTGCTTTTATTATTGTTTTATTGGGAATTTTTGAGTCACCTCCACTATTTAGGTTGAAATGCGATTGAAGAAATCTAGTTTACACTTTTTAATCCATTAATTATTTATTATAGATTTAAATCCAAGTGCAAATATTATGATAGCACGGTATCAGTTTTTGTCTTAATCAAATCAATTTATGGTTGTGTTTTTGGTGTCAGTTTTTGCACTTCATAATATTTGCCCAACGTAAATGACTTCAATCAAATTGGATTAATCGAGATAAAAAGAGTGTTTATTCAAGCGTGTTTGTCGTTTAGCTCGTTATTCAAATCTTTTGTTGTCAGATTTCGTTTGATTCTTAGAAAAAATTGCGTCATGAGCTTATATAAAATACACGAATCGATAAGTAAGCCCATACAATTTCGTATCGTACTTAATTACTGTTTAGTCACGCAAATGAATCTAATTTGAATTCTACTACCCATTTGGTTAGATTTAATAAGTGATCGACTTGAAGATATGACGAAATTAACGGTAAATTGTAAATTAGTAGAAGTATTTAAAAGTAAAATTCAATTTTTATTTAATCAGTAATCAATTGGTAATTAAAAGAAAATATCAATATTTTAAACCTGTAACCGCGCGCTCCTTCACACTTTTATAATTTGATTTTCTATCAACCTCAAGCTTTTTTTGTGTTTGTGTTGGAGCCATTCGTTCAAAGATTACTTTCGTCAATTGAAAAAGAAGAAAATGGTTTTTTATACTTCAAAAATTATTAGTTCAAACAATTTCATTTAAAATTTACTTGAATTTTGAGGAACACCGGGGCAAAGTCAGTAGTGGGGGCGGCACATCTTCTTACATGATCATATATTTTTTCAATTAAACAATGAGTTGTTGTTGTAATCATTGTTCGAACTGATGACAACGTACCCTGCAAGCTGTAGATTCAGCGACAGGACTCCGAGTGTCTCACTCTGCCCCATTCTTCCCTACAGCTAAATTGTATATCTATATGTATTCAAACATTTAAATAAATCGAAATACTTTTTAATAAAATGTCTTTAAAAAAGAATACAAAGCAACAATTATACTTAAAGGTGTCCGAACACCGTAGTTATCCGGTTTTACGAGCTAATTCAAAAATAAGTTTGCCATTTCGATCTACACAATAATAATGACGCAATCAATTATAAAAATTCGACATTCTCCCCGCCACTTCTTATTTCACGACATTTGATGTGTGAATACTGATATAGAATCTGAAATGAATAGTTTGTTTTTTAATCAAGTTTTTGGCAATATGATTTTATAAAAATTACTTTTTACTTTTCACTATAAACTTAACATATTTGAATATTTCAAATATATGTTTTTCTTGCTCAGACCTAAAAATATGATTAAGTAAAAGTTTTAAAGTTTGAATTTCGCTCAAAAGTAAGTTTTGAATTTCGCTCAAAAGCGCTTTGAATGACGTATGACGTCGATGGATCCAATAATAAGTTCAGCTGCTTGTAATAAACCTAAGATGCTATATGTATACGCCAAGCTCTAACATGCATAAGTATTTACATGATTTCATCATTACAATTTGCATGTAATTCCACCTTTATTATCATATCGATACACCAAATAGGACTGTTAACATGTTAAAAAAATATGTAATTTGCATCTGGGAATTCCTACTACGGAAGCATGTTAAGTTGTGATCGTCATCGATCGCTATGACTAAGTCTATCGACGCAACTCATTTGCAAAAAAACGAATATTTCATAACGAGAAAAACCAAATAGCCCCCAATTTTTAATAAAACAATTAAAACACCGTAGAAAACCATCGTATGAGTAGTCATTTTAAAATTATTTATACATCAACTTTCATCTTATATGAATCGTAATACTGGTATTAACTTTCACAGAATTGTAAAAGATGTTTGAAACCATTTTCATTGAGTTTTGACAACAACAAACAAATATTAATTTTAAATAAACTTTGTATTTACAGATGACACTTGTTGCAACCGATTCATCGTATGAAGACTACGCCGATAATTTCGATTTGTCACTTTTGTCGATGGACAACGAATTCAATTCAATAATTGACTGTAAGTAAACATACTACTATTTTTTAGTTGAAAATACACAAAATATTTGTTACAAATATTCATTTCGAAAAAAAAAAAATGTCATATTCGATACAGCGAGTTCGCAATCTGAATACATCCCAACAACGGTATTTGAAAGGTGGAATATCAATCAACAAAGAGACATCACGAATTCTTTAACTTCATCAACACCACAAGAACACATATTGGTGTTTCCGCCATCACCGACACCATCCATTGAACTCTCTACATACAATTGCAACATCACAAAAACGGAAAAATCATCAGCCAATTATAATTTATATCCACCATCACCACCAGACTCAAACGGTGCACCATCCCCAATTAATTGTCAATATATGGATATTCAAATGTCTGATCCGACATTTTCCTCCCAAAGTGATCTATTCGATGGTCCAAAAAAGGATTATCAGTTGCTTCGTGAGCATCTACAAGATTTAAGCTTTCAGAAGAAACATAATCTAAAACCATTACCTTTAGAGTCATTGTTTGTCGACGACTGGGATGTTCAAGATGATATCGAACCAGTTATCTCGTTGGCCTTGGAACAAGCTCGGAAAGATGTTGAGCAAACATGTTTAACATTAAACATTTCATCAGGTAAAATGGCCAAATTCATTATTCATTTGAAACTAAAACTGTCTATTTTGAAAAAAAAAATTGACGGTAAATGTGGACGTCATATGCGTCAAAGCAATTTTCTTCACGGTTAAATATATTTTTTGTATAATTATAGATCCACAAGAATGGAACCGCGATCAAGTGCGCGCTTGGCTTCAATTCACCATGAAACAATTTGAAATATCATCAAACAAAGATATGAAAAATATTTTCGACGAGGATGGTAAAGAATTATCACGTTTGAATGAAATCGACTTTATAAGTCGTATACCACAGGTAGGTAAACGCTCAATCTTTTACATTGAGTCATAGGACTGATATGATTTTCATCTTCAGGCGGGTTCAACTTTGTTTGCACAATTGGAGATTTGGAAGGCTTCTGGATGCAATGTGTCCGAAACATCTCATCAAATGCAACCGGCATCAAATCAGTCAAGCTGCATGTCCCCTTGGAATGTCCTCGATTCGGCTGGAGCTAGTAAGTAAAATTAAACTTGAAACGAAGTGATTTATATTTTTCTACAATAGCTAAAAATAATGAATTGCCATCAGATACATCATTTGACTGGGTATCGTTGCCAATGGAAACAGTAGAAGCAGAATATGAACAAAAAACAATTTCCACTGAAGTACAAAAAAGCACAATACCTGAAACATCACCACCACAAAAAAGTGGCCGACAAGGAAGTGCTCATATTCATTTGTGGCAATTCTTAAAAGAATTACTTCAAACACCTCAAACTTATGGAAATGCAATTCGTTGGTTGGACCGAAGCCGTGGCGTCTTCAAAATCGAAGATTCGGTTCGTGTTGCCCGTCTTTGGGGCCGGCGCAAGAATCGGCCGGCAATGAATTATGATAAATTATCGCGTTCAATTCGACAATACTACAAAAAAGGTATTATGAAAAAAACAGAACGTTCACAGCGTTTGGTTTACCAATTCTGTGTTCCGTATAGTATGTAAACAGTCTAATAACGTTTACATTTTACATTTAAGTATACTAATTTAAATGTGGGTTTTGGTTTTTTTACAAATAAGTTTGTTACTATTTAAGTGCATGAATCAAATGTGTAATTTTTTTTTACAAAAGTGTCTTGTCTTTTTGTTTGTGCAAAGAAGGTAATTTCTTTGCTCAAAACATATAAAAACAAGGAGCAAAGGATTTCTTGCAAAAATTCTACAGATGTTTATGTCGAGTGGCTATGAGTGTCGACTACACTGTTTCTTTTTTTCCAAGCAATTACATCACATAATATTGATGAAAAAAATCTTATGATACAGATGCATAGGTCTTCATCCATTTTTGAACATAACAATTCAAGTGCAATACCCAAGTATAGTGATTGAGATTTGGAAAAGATGAAGCAGTACATTCCATCACATACCATTTGATGAATGTTTAGTTCTTTGAATTTCACATTTTATCTCATAAGCATTTCACAAGACATCAGAAGAGGTGTAAATGAATCCAAGTGCATAACCGAATCATACAAAAAAGGATAGGAATATTCATGAGAGGTATGTGCTTAAGAGATTCGCCTAACACCAAGTTGAAACTTCGTTATATTTGCCGATAGTAAATCGATCAACAATGGACCGCAAAAATAAATTGAAAAACAAATAAATATTGGCTAGTTCATGATTTATATGTATGATGCTTTTCCAATTATTTGTGTGAGGTTCAGCAGAGCTTGTAATCTTTTATTACATTCTGCATTCTTATCATCAATTAATTTTTCGATTTACTAGATTTCGGTGATTTTGGTCCCATATATCTATGATATATTGAGTACGTTCTGTGAACATTATTTAAATAATAAAATACCTTTATATAATTATTATTGTTGAAGAAAAGTTATTTATTCTGCATGCAATAATTCTTTAAATGCTGTGAACGCGCGCAATTTAATATATTTGCGCACATAAAATATGTCACAGTATTTCGGGATTTTTGTTTCTTTTTTTACATAGAATTTAAGTTTCTTCGAAATGGTTTTCGATATTTTGTAATTGAACATTAAAAATATTTCTTGCCAAAATTTATTAAAAATAAAGTTGTAAAAATTCAAATAAATCAATTAATTTTATCATCATTTTTGTTAAAATATATTTGTTTAAATTCCAAGTTGTTCAGTGTGAATGAGAATGATTATTATAACAAAAAAAATTATAATGTAAAACCATTCACTAATAATAGTAAAAAACATCGTTCTTGTAGTTTTAAGACGCTTTTATAGATTCTATTGTAAAACAGCTGAAACCAATTTTCTATATCATTTTTTTCGAAATGTTACATAAAAATCTGAATATATTTTGAAGTCAGTGTTAATTAGACTGCTTTTTTACCATTAACACAACATGTAATTTTGATCAGCTAGTTTTCAAAAAAAAAAAAAACAAAGTTCAAACATAGAAACAGTTGTAGAAATTAATTTGAATTCGTTCGCAGTTGTTTTACAGTAAAATCTAGAAATATTTCCGCTTGCTTTACTATATCTTTTTGTAGATCATTTATTATAAACTCAATAAATCATTATGTAATGTGGGTTGGGTGCTTTTTTTAATTGTATTATTTAATAATCGAAAGTGTATCAACTATACTTTTATCCCTTAATTCAAAACTTTAAGATATTTCCGCAACTTATTTGATATTCAATATAAAATATTCATTGACTTTCAAATTCAAAAAGAAAAGAAAATTTTTGAAAAACAAATTGAATTGTATTGAATTTGTATGTATCTTGTTGTAAGCTTTAAAATAAACGTTCATTTAGCAAACACACAATGGTTTAAATGGGTTTTTTTTATTGATAACAACAACAACAACAAAAGGCAACAGACATTTGCGTTCAGTGTTTTGTATTTTTTACAAAATGAAATGATTCAAATCCCACCAGCAATTTCTCTAACATTCAAAGGTATGTGATCTTCTAAATTATTATTTATTTTATGATTATGAGTAAGAATAGAAACAAACCAGTACTTTAAAAAGAAATAACATTTGCAAAAGATCAAATCTTATTAGAAACATTTCCAAATCAAACTTTCAGTGTGCTTTTCTCATCGAACTGGTTTAAAAAAAACAACAGATGGCGTCGTTGGTAAGAAGTGAATGTATCACTCTCACTGACATTTACATGGGTATGTCATGCCATTACTATAGCTATTGTCATAATCGTCAATTCTATTCTATATTTTTGGTGTATTTTATTTTGATTTCTGTGATAATTTCTGCATTCCATGATTGATACATAGTTATAGCTAAAAAAACGAGTGATTTTAATTAAAAACCGCATATTCAATTCGTGTTCAATCGATACCAATATGAAATGAGCATCGGTAAATCAACAGGTGACTATTTAATCTGTTTGATTTTGTTTTGAACGATGTAGCTCATAATGAGAACTATTTTCTAAGTAATAAATACTGTAAACTATTTACAGACATCAAATATTTTTAATGTTTCGATGAGGAAATTCGATGCAGTTATGGAATGCTGTTTTATATGTGTTATTTTTTAATCAAATTTCAATGAATGTGAAACAATGGTCCAATGATTGTTTTTGAATATTGTATTTTCGAAGTAACCTGTCAACTTACGAAAAATCTATAGCGTATCAATGATGCGCGTTTTTAATACCAGCAAGTGAATTATCAATAGATAAAAAAACATAACATTTTATTTTAAAAAAAATCTTTTTAAACCATAGTTGAAACGTCAGTACATTTTTTGTGCCACAAATTTAACGTATTTATTGATTTTGTGGAAAATATTTGTGTCGATTATTTGGTCACATACTTTAACATTTTATCCATGTGCGCTGTGCTGTACTATGTATTTGAATATATGTAGGGGTTGAGCATATTTTCCATGATAGGTAAAGCCTATTGTGATAGTTAAATACTTCACATTCTTTCTATACTGAGCATCTCAAAATAACGGCAGATATTCGATTTTCTGTATCAAATTTGCTTTCAATCACAAAACATCTAACGGATGGTGTTAATTGCAAAATTGGCAATATAAAATATATAATATATAAAATCTCTTTCAATTATTTATACCAAAAATTCTCGGCTGAAGTTATAAAATTCAAAATTTATAGTTGTTTCATTCATGCATTGTAATCGGTCGAAACTCAAATTGTTTTTATAATATTGAAAATAGAACAAACGAAAAGATAAAAAAATATGGTTCGGTGGTGGAGTTTTTACAGTTGTAATCGCCTCAACACACGAAAAAGTGATACAATTATTCCTTTTAACTTTAGTGTAAAACATGAATTTCCTTAGTTTGATGAATATAATTAAATCGATTTTAATACCAATTATAATTACAGAAACTGATGACCAAACGCCTACAAGAACAGCATCTTTGAATACAAAATTATCAGAGCATTCAAACTACCAAGCATCAAGCTCAAGAGAAGTAACCATATCACAGCCCACAAGGAAATCAATTGGTACGTCTTACGTGTTTATGCACCGCGTTTAAAATAGATAACATTATTTGAGTGAATATTTCTACCTCGATGAATTTCCCAAATGGGTGCATTATTGATTACACAAAAATCCAGTAGATAGTTAAATAAAAAATGTCAACCAATCATTTAACAAAAACAGAGTGTGTTTTGTGCACGTATTGAAGGTGAACGTTTTTTAAATCTTACCACACATGACCGTAGTTCATTTGTTGTTGTTTGTGTGTGCAATGTACACTGTACAGTGTACATTGTACACAACTCAGTCTTCCGTTGAATGCTTCATTTACTAATGAATATTAAAGCATCAGCATATAGCTGGCATCTACTCAAATACACATGCTGGTGATGCTGTTGTCACTAATTTATTGATTAATTTTGATTTTTTTTCTCATTTCACGCAATAGATCATACGAGTGTGATGTCGTCGGTATTAATTGCTGCAAAGAAGTTGTCAATACTGTTACAACAAAATGGAAACATGGCACATCAACCCGATGCTTTTACAGCCAACATACTAAGCACATGGCTGAAACAACATTCATTACCGGTATGTTCTATTTTTGTGCACACATAAAATGGTGCGATTCTCTATTAATTTTTTTACAGTAGAATGGAATGGTAGTGCCACAGAAATGCCTCTTATTAACAAGCATTTGATGTCATATTTGAACTTTAGGCAACTATTTGCACTAGATATATACACTCAGGGAATTATAGTCCAAATATCTCTAAATACTCAAGACTCACATAGACCTAGTAGTAAAATCCCTTTACTGCCAATATTATGTCAGTCGTCAAATAGAAAATTTTCATGCATTTTTGTTATTGCACTTGAAATCTAAGTTGGCTTATTTCATATGGAAAGTATTATTGATTATCACCATTTTTTCATGAGGGAAATACATCCTTTGTTAATTGTATGCAATCAGCTAACCAAGCACAAGCGAATGGTATAAGTCAATCTAATCTTAATTCTTACTTCTTTCTCTGTATTCGGAATCCAACAAGCACTGTTTCTATGTTGAACCTGGTATTACACTTTTGGTTTTATCAGAACACATTGTAATCATACATGTAATTGGCGAAAAACGACAACAACTAAGTGCACTTAATTCTTTGGCCACCTACTTTTCAATATTGTTTCTGAAAAAAAAATTGCATCGAATATTTGATTAGCGTTAAGTTTGAGTTATATGTTAAAACTTTGAAAGTTCACAAAATTTCGTTTTGTTTTGTTAAAACCAAAATAAGAGCTCGGATTTGGTAACATATCAACGGAAATGGATGTGTTTTTCATGGTGAAAATTGCCAGCATATATATATATACATGTTATGTTGTGTTTGCAGGCAATACTTTGTGTTTTTTTCGAATGTTTTGCGTAGTTCGAAAAACCAAAGCAAATCACTACATCGATATTTTCAACAAAATGATCACATAACACATGTGTTTTAAATATAGAATACGCTTGAAATTGATGTGTTTCATGGATAAGCCTGTTTTTACTGTTTACATCGAATTGGATCGGAAGTTAGTTTTGAAGTTAGACATTTACATATACACATTTACATACAAAAAAACAGTTTATTTTACATACGATTTGATTTTCATTGTTGATTTTAAAACCAAAGAAAAGCCGAAATAGTTCACAATTATTTTTATGAATTTTTTTTAAGATTTCTTTTATAGAGACAAGATTTTTATATGTATAACGTTCAAAGAACGTTAGTTACCGCATCTAAAAATAATTCTTTATTCGGGTACTGCACGCACTAAATGAATCTTCATTCAAAACAGATGAATGTATAAAGAGAGCTATAGATATGTTTGTGTGTCTCAGACAGAAATTGGAGACGTAGCAAAGAAGGAAAGAACACCACTATACACTATAGACAGACTGAAAAATAGTCTTATTTAAAGAACAACTGCAAGCGTTTACTAACGCATATCAATGTTTTTCTGTTTTAATACGAAAAGAAAATACATTGAAAATATTGTGCCATTTTTCAAACATTTTAAAATCAGTGAGATCTTGTAAGTGGATAAACGTTACACTTCCTTCGAAAAATAAATTATAACTAACAGTTTTATTAAATGAAAATTTTCAGTTGTTGTATTCATTGAATTGCCGAAAAATTGCTAAATAGAGGCAGTTGCATAGTAAAAAATTATTCAACAAATCGTATTGATTCACACTCTATATTGTGTACCGTTTTTTTTTCATAGCTCAATGATACACTATAAATAGCATATATATGCGATATGTATTATTTAAATTCCATAACTTTGAATAAAGTACATTGAATAATTGTGAATTGTGCTATGCAAACGGTGAAATAAAATTAAAGCACACACACACACATTGAAAAGAAAAACATAGAATCCAATAAAAGCACACATAAGAATATAGTTTTTCTGGTGTTCTATCAAGAATTGTTTGGTAGGAATAAAGCAGTAATATGAAACCGCCACAAAATGAGCTCGTTGCGGATGGAAATAGACAGAAGCCACCACGAGCAAAATCAGTACCAAGTACCACATCATCCGATGCCTTAACATTTATGGGTGATATTGACAATGATATTTCAACATCAGCTAGTGAATCGTATCCACAAGAAGAGTCGAGCTCAAATGAAGGTAACTCTTGCTGTTACAATACTTTAAAGAACCTTCATATGTCATAGGCTATGACTCATAGCCATTGCAACAACTATATTCAAGGTGTATATTATTTATTAAAATTCAAAACTTGATCGAAATCGTTCGTTACTCTGAATTACAAATTTATTCGCACCGAATTCATCATATATGTTTTAAGTGTTTTTAATGGAATTGGGGTGCAACAACACCATTTTTAATTTCTAGATTCCATTCTTTACATTGATCAAGATGGTGATGAGGTAGATTGTATCGAAAAAGAGAACGAAAATGAATCGCTACCCACGTCAGTATCGGACAATACATTTTATGATATTAACGGAGTTGGAAATTTCCAGAGTAATCGACTCTCATGTTCAAGCCCTTATTCAAATTTATCTCGAACAATTGTTCGTAATTATGACGAACAAGATGCATACAACTTCATCTCAGATTGGGCATCCACTGCGGAAGATACATCATCATTTTATGATGATCAAAGTTATATGCGTAAATCAATTTATGATCCTGAATTTCAATCAATCACCTCTAAACAATCAAGTTGTGGTGCGTACCTTTTAAACCCAAAATGATCCATTTTGCAACAAACAAAAAACAAACCATCATACATATACTTTCAATTCATTGAACAAATTTTTGGAATACGTACATTTAACTAAAGTCCGTGCTGAATATGAACATTTTCACACAGCTGCATAAACAAACGCTTCAATTTCACCTGTTGAATTTAGAAAACTAATTTTTCATTTGTTGAAAGAGACACAAATCCGGACGTAGAATATATATATTAGGGTGCATCGATTTTTTATTTCTGAAAATGCAAAAAACCCTTAGTGCGTCTTTTGTAGACCTGGTCGAGAGTAACATTTTTTGTTCTGGCACTTTGGCCTACACCACCCTCATTTTCACCCCGCTCGATTTAAAGTTCGTAATTTTTCAAATGAATTTTTTTCAATAAATTTGTATGAAAGTGAATTGGTTTTAGTATTGTTGTAGATAGTATTAGAGGAGCTCTATAAGATAGGCCCATCACAAAAATGCACTTTTCATTTTTTAGGAAAAAAAGTTGCAACGAATTTTTTTTTCGCCCATCGATTTTCAAAAAAGTAATCTAAAACATATGCTTCCGTCAATATTTTTGCTCAAAATTCATGTATTTTTGAATTCCGCATGCCCAATTTACTAAAGTACCATGAATCGCCACAAAACTTTTTCCTGCAAACTTTTTTTCAGAACTCATTCGTCAATCAGAGCATTGGGTTTCATACAAAATCTAAAAAATTTCGCTTAAATGTTCACACATCGACTTGAAATTTTACACGGAGCTGGGATTTGATGAAAAATGACTAAAGCCAAAAAATAATTTCATTCTGTTGTTGTCTTGTTGACTAGAATTATGTCTAGTATATGTCAACAAAATGAATTTTTGTTTTTTCTTTCGGAACCATTACACTAAACATATCCTGTTTATATTCTGGTATTAACTAGTAATTATGATGTACTCTATGCCACGTATTCATAATTTTCATTTTTGTCACTTTTTGCACTTTGCTGCACCTTCAAAATGTAATCCTAGCAAAATGGCACCCTGGAAATTATATTTTTGTCAAATTTTCTAATTTTTTTGTGTATTTTGCAATTAATTTGTTTTAAAATACAATATAATATGCTTCTTTTTTATTTTCTGGTCGAAAAGGTGTTGTTAAATTTGAAAATTTAGTTGAAATTATTTAATTTGGCGAAAATGACCAAATTTTTAGCCAAATTTTTATTTTTTATCAGTTTGAGGTGAAAAATGTCCATGATTTTGACTAAATAATTTAACAATTGAAATCTTTTTTATCATGTAAATCTTGAGGATTTATATTGATTTTGGGTCAAAGTATTCTCAAACTACCCAAAATTACTAAATTTTTACCAAATTTCTTTTTTTGGAAGGATTATAATCTCAGCGGAAACACGACCAAAAATATCTGTATAAAATCCATCGTGGAGACGTTATATTGTATTTTAAAACAAATTAATAGCAAAATACACAAAAAAATTAGAAAATTTGACAAAATTATAATTTCCAGGGCGCTATTTTGCTAGGATTACATTTTGAAGATGCAGCAAAGTGCAAAAAGTGACAAAAATGAAAATTATGAATACGTGGCATAGAGTACATCATAGTTACTAGTTAATACCAGAATATAAACAGGATATGTTTAGTGTAATGGTTCCGAATGAAAAAACAAAAATTCATTTTGTTGACATATACTAGACATAATTCTAGTCAACAAGACAACAACAGAATGAAATTATTTTTTGGCTTTAGTCATTTTTCATCAAATCCCAGCTCCGTGTAAAATTTCAAGTCGATGTGTGAACATTTAAGCGAAATTTTTTAGATTTTGTATGAAACCCAATGCTCTGATTGACGAATGAGTTCTGAAAAAAAGTTTGCAGGAAAAAGTTTTGTGGCGATTCATGGTACTTTAGTAAATTGGGCATGCGGAATTCAAAAATACATGAATTTTGAGCAAAAATATTGACGGAAGCATATGTTTTAGATTACTTTTTTGAAAATCGATGGGCGAAAAAAAAATTCGTTGCAACTTTTTTTCTTAAAAAATGAAAAGTGCATTTTTGTGATGGGCCTATCTTATAGAGCTCCTCTAATACTATCTACAACAATACTAAAACCAATTCACTTTCATACAAATTTATTGAAAAAAATTCATTTGAAAAATTACGAACTTTAAATCGAGCGGGGTGAAAATGAGGGTGGTGTAGGCCAAAGTGCCAGAACAAAAAATGTTACTCTCGACCAGGTCTACAAAAGACGCACTAAGGGTTTTTTGCATTTTCAGAAATAAAAAATCGATGCACCCTAATATATGTATATATAATTCAATTGAATTATTTGGGTTCCATAGATAATTCTACATGTTGTGATGAGGACTTTACGTGGGTCTGTAATCAAAAAGAGAAAGCTGTTGCATACTCACTAAAAGGAGCTTTAAAACATTCTCAAGGTGATGTTGATGATGCCGTTATTAAAGATATAAACACCACCACAAAACGTGAGAAGATTGTAAGACCTTCGGTTAATATTGAACAGCGTCGTATTCATAGCCGAAGTCGAAAAGAACGAGATAATAAAAGTTGTAGTGCACATTCGCTACAAGAATCTTCGGCAACATCTACAACCGATTATGCATCGCCTCAACAGATTTCCGGTACTTTTTTCTTAACACGAATAGTTTTAGACATTTTCCTTACGTTACATAAATCAATTTGAAGCAATGACCAGATTCCAATTGGAATTTCAAGTTTTTCTATTAATTAAAATAAACTTCATTTTGAAGTAAATAACGTTTAAAACTCAAATTGTAGCTAAACAATCCGAGTTCGAACAGATATTTGATTCATTACAAAATGTTTTTTATTTAAAAAAAGGTGTCCATCGCCCAAAACGAATGGCAAACAGTGAATCTATTCCAAAACATCATAGCAAACATCATGTTCACTCTCATTATACGGCACATCGTCCAAAAATGCCACCTCCAATATTTTGGGAACGACCATACTTTCCCAGCTGGGATCCAAACGTACATTATATAAACTATCATAGTCAAGATGACAATTATTTTAATGAGTTCTACAATCATCGGACATCACACAATGACTGTTGTCGATATGATAGCGATAGCAATATAAATGTCAATCAGCCGAAGTTATTGTTACCGCCATCTGCATCGCCATCAAATTATGGTACCTATTGTTCAAACCGTTTTTATACAAAACCACCACCAATACAACATCAGTGCTACCCATGTAATCGCTCTACGTCGTCAATTGCTTTGCCAAACGCTTCGAAATTCGATAAGGTGCAATAAACTGAAACATTTTTTTTTGTCGGAATGTGTTTGATTTTTGATATGTAACATAATAAATTTTTCGAAAAACAACAATATCAAATGGAATTTACCATTTGATAATGTTTTTTTTTTGTTTTTGGTTACAAATCAGCACTGTCATGTGAAATGCATGTTGCTGAGATTATCAACAGCCACGGCAACAAGATATCAGACTAACACATATGCTTGAAAATGCGTTAAGGTTAGCCGAATTGCATGACCGAATTCTTTGTAAAGTGCTCTTTGTTAACATTGATAAATGGTTTTCAATTATTTTTTTCCTAAAAAGCCATGGTGTTCTGACTTCGTAATATACACATTTTTTCAAATACATTAACTATTGCTGGTAGTATCGCAACTGTGAGTCCCTGTAGTATTAACTTAAAACCTATTTTATATTCGAATAACTAATGTGTCTTAAATACAAAAGAAAAGACTTCATCGAGAGATAATGTTTAGTTTTCTTAAACTGACTGAATAATATTTTTTTGGTTTGAGGAAGTAAGAAGTCGTCCAACTCAGAATTATCTAAAAACTAAACCATATTTAACTGTTTTCGTGTGTGCTTGTTTTTAATCGTTTTGTTTTGTTTTTCTCTAAATAAATTTAAAATGAAATTTTTATCTGTGCTTCTATCCAATTTAGGCCGAAATTTCGGATGAAAGATCACACCTTAGCGATAAGGAGTTACTAGCACATCAAGTACATATACTTACCAAACAGGTTTCGGCTCAAAATGAAAAAATCAACGATTTGGAGCGACTGATATCTGACAAAGCGCAACATGTTTCGAATACCGAAGAGCTTCTTCAAAGGGTAAAAATTGAAATTGGTGAAATTGAATTGAAATTGAACATGGTACATCTCCCTTAGGAAAGATTGTCACGTTCATCATTGGAAACACAAAAATTGGAATTGATGTCGGCAATGAGTGAACTTAAGCTACAACAAGCAGTACTCGAGAGAGAAAATTTGGAGCTACGAGCATCACATTTCAACAATAACACAATCGCAACGGATCGAAAACTGCCGCCCGTGCCAAATGCACGAATACGCACAAATTCCACATCCGGATCAATGGTAAATAGTAACACATATTGAAAATTAAATGTATAACATTAATTTCGTTTTTATTATAGACGCCACCATCTTCATATCGTCGTCAAGTTGATATTCACTACAACAGCCTTCCACGAGCATCATTACCAACGACATCCACACCCATCCAATCCGGATGCAATTCAGCCAACAGTTCAATCATTGATTCAAATGCAAATCCAAAACGAAATGCCGTTGCATTCGGTAAACAACTTACAAATCAATACATCCCACACTCAGCTACAAAATCTGCTTCGAATATATGTCATCAACAAATGGTTCTTTATCAACAACCCAAACCGACATCATCATTATGTCACGGTTTTCAAAAACAAAAAGGAGTTTCAGTTCCGAATTTAGGTTTACCAATTATCTTCACTCTTTTATAACATGCTTGATTATGATTACGTGTTTTTCACTAAGCATGCTCAATTTCCTAATTTTTTTTTTCTCGCTCATTTCGTTTTTCCCCCCGAAACTTTTTAAATTTAATATGCATGCATGAACAAACCATTTGATCAAAATGCTGAACATAAATTCGCCGTTTTTATGCATACAACTGTGTTGGCACGAAAGCCCAACGTTTAAATGTTAGAAGTGTAAATTTACGTGCAACCAATTTTGATTTTTGGCCAATATTAGGTTTTTATGATCGAAAATATTTCGGTTCTTCATCTTTAAATAGCAATATAAAAATACATCATTTAATAACAATAACTCAAAAGTGCAATCGCATTCACTAATTCATAATTCACATTTTACTATTATACAAAGCACCAAAAATACTAATTTGTTTTTACAATACCAATTCTGAAACACGCTTTATCTCAATTAAAAATTATTTCCTGCTTTGTTCGAAATTTATATCTATATTCTTGTGATAATCCAATCTTACTTCTGTATATGACACTCCTATAACCTAATGCAACTCATCCTATCAATAAAATATCGGTTGAATGTTGGATTTCAAGCAACCTTTTTTCCATTTTAATAGTTTTGTAGTGGAAAAGAAGTTTTTCAAAAACATTTTGTGCTCAAGTTGCGTACTTTGTACGCATCCCAGCACCATAATCTATTTTTGGATCATCCATCCCCAATTCATTATGCCAAACATTCAGTGATAAAAAATTTGTAGATAATTTTTATCTTTTACACCGAAGGCAGTCTCATGCCTTCTCCAAGCATCAGAAGCTCATGTTCGCTGCGCATCTTCACAATAATTGGTGAAAATCCTGTGATCGGTTATAGTTTAGAATTTTGAAACACTTTAAATCAATATGACCATGTGTATCTTGAAAAACGTTGCTGTTTTCGAATCTCACATTTGAATGGCCAGGTTTGTTGATGCATGTAATGAATTTTCACACTCCCAGGCCGACCCTTTCTTGATTTCTATTGGCCGAATTAGTTTGAGCTCCGTTGGTACCGTTAATGGCTTATTCTTTGTGAATGGTTTCGCATTCTTTAATCGATTTGAATGGTCCAAATGGAGACGTGCATACTCAGGTGTAACATATACATCCATTTCTTTTCGAAGCATTACAATGCGAAGCTAGCAAAATGATAGCTAAATTTTTATTGTAAACTGTGCATATATTCCATTCATTTTGCACGAGCTCCAAAATAGATACCTAAGCATTCCATCTTTCAATTTTAACATATATTTAAAAAACGTTATATTTTTGTTTGTTTTGTCCTGTTTTATTTTTATTCATAACAAAATATTATAACAAATGCAATAACATCAAACAATGATCATATTTGCTAAACCATTTTTTTTTGCTTTGAATATTAGCTCAAACGGAGAAAATTATTGATGATACTGATTTGCGTCAGCAATCCTCACCATCGCCTTCAATCAGCAGCAAAAGCAAGAGTTTGGGTGGTTTACGAAGTATTTTTGGTAAATTGAGGAGGAGCAACAGTGGAAATCTGGAAGAATTGCCTTTAGATGGAAGTGAATTCCGTCGAGGCGGTATTCGAGCAACAGCAGGACCAAGATTAGGATGGAACAATGCACCAACTACAGATGTTCGGTAAGGGAATATTACATTATTAATGAAACCAATTAGAAAAGAGTCATTGGTCTCATATACTTGCTCCTGGTGAATTTTTCGGGGATCTCATCATTTAATACATTTTTTGTTGTTTATTTTTTAAGGTTAATAAATGAAAGAACGAATCCATTCACAGAATGGAGTGTAGATGCTGTATGTGCCTGGTTTGAAGAAATGGGACTCGGAATCTATGACGAAGATTTAAGAAAATGGTTGAAAAATGGTGGTGCCGATCTTGTAAATGTGTCATCATTTGACATAGAAAAAGAAATCAATTTAAAGTCATCGTTGCATAGCAAAAAGATTGTGTTAGCATTATCAGAAGTCACTGGCAAAGATACGGATGAATTATTTATCAATTCGGGGAAACTGGACACGGTTTGGGTAAGTTTTGCCAAAAAATATTATATATAAGCGTCTAAAATTTACTCGTGACATGGAAAATACAGGGGAGCGACGTGAAACGTACGATTAAGAACTTGACATCAGAGCCAGTCCCTAATAACTAAAAATGGTACAAATTCGCAATAGATGGCGCTTATAAATCGACAAACACGATTACATTTTATCAGAAGAAAAATGAAAAATATTGAAATATTTTCAAAATATTTATTTTAAAGCACTAAATTTATCTTATTATATATGATATTTCAGTGTGCCATACTGACTGTCGACAAGATACACACGCAATGGTGTTGACTATAGTGCACATCATGTATATCGTATAGTGTACACTACACTCGACACTGTTGTGTATCATGCGCAGTATAGCTTGACATACAACTTAAGAAATGTGCACAAAGGCACACTGAGATATCATATATGATAAAATAAATTAAGTGCATAAAATATTTTATGAAATTATAATTCTAAACAAATTTCTTCCCAAAAAATTCTGTGCATTTTGACAATCAACCAATACACCCTCCAATCCAAAAGTAACCGAATTTTTAAAAAATAATAGATACCAGTGGCGCCACCTACTGGATATTATATGCGTTAGAAAGGTACTTGCCCCACTGACATTATGTCCAAGTTCCATGAGGATCGGATGTAAACATGTCAAGATATTGCGTCTTATTTTTTAGTATCTTTTGTTCTCGGTGACAAAATGAATTTCAAACAAAAAATAATCAACTTTTGTGATAAATTTTGAAAGGTTTAACGAATTAGATATTTCAAAAACCATTTTATTATGATTGCTCATGCTGTCTATAAGCTACAAAAACCAAAACACGGGATCCTATATCGGTACATGCTTCGCATATCGACATCTTTGGAAAAAGTCAAATTTTCAGGATATTCTCATTTCGTGGACCAATTTTCTGTGAATTTCGTGAAACCGATCATCGAATATTTTGCTCTGATGAGCCTAATATTAACTGAGGACCTATATATTGAATAATCCATAACGATTATTGCAGATAGTCAGATGTATATAGTCTCTAGAACATGAAATAGACAGTAAGTCACTTTTTCACGATATTGCTCTTGCTCATTTTTCAGTCATTTGTCAACAAAAAAACTATAATGTACATTGCACAATTCTCCATTTTCGCTTGAGATATCTCGTATGGCTATCCTCTTTCCAACGAGTGCATTTGCCGATGAGAACGAGACGATATAACTATTCTGTGTTCAATTTTCGGCCTTGAACCGAGCCTTAAATATACTAAAATATCTGACGCAATAACTTGGACATGATGTCAATGGGAACTCCCCCTTCCTAACACATACTAAATCCAATAGACGACGCAATTAATAATATTTATTTTTTAAAAAATTCGGTTACTTTTGGATTGGAGGGTGTACAAAATTTTCGACATATCAAAACAACAAATATCACATTTGATATTTTCTATAATTCATTAAAAACCATTGAAATCAAAAGAAGCACTAAAATCACATCTTCTAACTTGAATTAAATTGAAATCCTTAAACTTTAACTACTTTAAAAATATTTCAATATTTTTCATTTTTCTTCTAATAAAATGTAAGCGTGTTTGTCGATTTATAAGCGCCATCTATTGCGAATTTGTACCATTTTTAGTTATGAGGGACTGGCGCTGATGTCAAGTTTTTTCACGTCGCCCCCATGGGAAAATATTTCATTCCAAAAACATATATTGTCGGAACATGTAATGGAATTTATATGTTTTAAATTTTTATTTAGGTTATGCGTTGGTTAGATGATATTGGCTTACCGCAACATAAAGATAATTTTTCGAATGCTCGTATTGATGGACGTATGCTACATAGATTAACACTAGAAGATTTGGCAACACTTCACGTTACATCATCATTGCATGCAGCTAGGTACATTCTATTTAACCCGGGCAGGTCAAAATCCTAACGTTATCGGGCAAGTGGCGCCTCTGAGGCCCGACGTACATTTTCCATGCAAATTCAATGAAAAAAATTTTTTTATCTTTTTTCAAATTTCATTGAATTTATACGACAAAATTATTGTTTTAACATAAAAGATATTGAATTAAATATGTTTTTTTATAAAATATAACTGAAAAAATGAAGAAATAATCAATATTTATTCCGAATCGGATGAATTTAAGTTTCAGTTCAGTAGTTGTTAAGTACAAATTTTGCACTTCATTTTAATAAATTTTATGACATTTTGTATGGAAAATGTACGTCCGGTAGTTGTTCAAACCTCAATACAGCGCTACTTGGGGAACCAAATTCAAAACAACTTTTATCAACGATTAGTAGAAGGAAGAAAGAATATATTACAAAACAATTTATTTGATTAAAATAATATTTTATGCGGATTTATGTATCTTTTTTTTTTTTTTTTTAATGCGCTATCGGGCCTCTGAGACCCGACCTGCCCGGTTAAGGGTTAAATATATTTGTTCTGAAATTGAGTTTTTCGATTTACTTTCTTGGCATGAATTAGATCGATTTAGATGGGTCTCTTAAAAAATACTTTTTAATGATCTTTATTGTTTCGATTCAGTCTTCGTCGTGCAATACAGGTTATGCGAGAAAATAAATGGAATCCAGACTGTTTAGTTCGGCGATCGTACAATCATCAGATCGAAGACGAAAAGTATTCCGATTGTAATTTATTAAAGGATTTGCATTTATGGACTGCACATCGAGTTATGGAATGGTTGCGTGTTGTTAATTTGGCCGAATATGCGCCAAATTTGCGCGGCGCTGGAGTACACGGAGCACTAATGGTATATGAAGATCGTTTCACCGACGAAATACTTGCCGATTTGTTAAGGTATTATTTTGTTAGCTAAAATTCCAATACAAGAAACTCATTTAACTCTTTTGTAACTCATCTTATATTTTTTATTTATTTAATTTGTTTTTTCCATCAATTTTTTTTTAGCATTCCATCAACGAAATCGTTAATTCGACGACATTTGTGCACCCACTTCAAAGATTTACTCGGTCGTGAAATCATTCAGAACAAACGAAAAGCCGAGACAACATTGGGCTACCAACCACTCACACTCACTTCCAAAATAAAGGTAACATTAACTTAACAAAAAAAAATATTCTGCAATCAGCAATACCAAAAATGAATGATTTGTTTAAACTTTAAATTTAAATAGACACCGAAAAAATCACAATTTACATTAAAGCGGAAGAAAAACCAAAAACCTATTGATGAATGGGGTGACTTACTATGCCCATTAGGTAAGACATCAGGTGAGTACCTTCAAAGAAAAATTTATTCAAAGAAAATGTATGAGAGTTTGATTAAAAAAACTCGAGTACAGACCCAAAATATCTACCCACATTCGGGATTTTGTTTCTTCTTAAAAGTATTGTAAGATTCCTTTCTTATCTTAAAGCCATAATTTTTTGATATAATTTTTTCTCAACTGCCTATGCTTTATGTTACTTACAAATACTCGTATTACTCGTGCATAGATTTTTTTTGTAAATTATGAAATTACTTACATTTCTAATTATATTTTCTGACTCAAATCTTTGCATTTGTATGAAAATGCAATATTGAGAACGGTTAATAAATTTCTAATTTACTAATAAATTCTGATTTACTAATACTAATGCATTGTGTATGCGTATGCATCTTTTGATTTCCTTAAATATAAGTTATGTAACTAAACAAATAATCTATTTCAGGTGACCAACAGACTACTACTAATAACACTAATGTAAGTTTAGCTATTCTACCTAATCAATTAATTCATCGAAGAATAAGAATCAATTCTTTTGGACACTCTATTCTTTGTTAAAAACGTCCAAATCAAAAATCTTTTTATCCAGTCCTTACGATCCTTATTAAGTATTTTTCTTTCTAATTTGGTTATTTATTTTGCAGATGACGAGTCAAATACCAATAGCCGGCGTCGAGGCTGTTTCTCTGGAGAATAGTTCAATCCAGCATAACAACCATAGCTATCAACCAGATGCGCGACTGTACCGAGATTTATAGCATTTAAGATGAGGTTTTTTGACGAATACGAACATAATTCTTTAGTTTCTTAAATTTATTGAAAAACCAATTTGAAAAAGTATTCATTTTTGTAGAAATATGTACAAAGAGAATGGCTTCTTTTGATGAATTTTCCAATAAATTGTGAAGCTAAAAAAAATCCGAAAAAAAATATTGGCTATTGATAGTTATATGTTACTAACAAATCAATAGCTCAATTTGCCAGAATTCTGTTCGGAATCATTTAAAATTAGTTGAGAAAAGCACAAGTAACATCCTACACATATGCACTGGCTTATAAAAACAACAACAATAAAGTTTATTACATTTACTGACATTAAATACAATTTTGTTATGAGTGTGTGGAATTTCAGAAAGAAATAATACAAACGAATTCCCTTTCGTTAAAGGTCTTCCTATTATGTTTTCCTTGTATCATTTTCGCCTTACGTTCATTTCAACAGTACAACTTTTCATGTTTGAATAAGCTTTTTCTCCGAATCATACATGAAGCGAGTTTCACATTATTCTATTTTTGTTCAAAAGTTTGGCAACAGATGTCGTTGGTAATCAATTTTTATGTTGTTTACTTCAATAGCATTTCCAAATGTCACAATTGATTGGCATTGTCAGATTGGTGAAACTTGAAATAAATATTTGTCTTATTGTCTGTTTTCATTTTATTTAAATGTAAATATATCGTAGCCGTGTAAACGATATGAATAAAAATGTTAAATATCTGTGCTGTGTATGTTCAGGCTGTGGTGAACATGATGTATTCGGTCGAATCCCGGTCAATGTTCATGCGAACCCAAATGAATTTCGTTTTTGGAGAGAGACAATAGCTGAAATGATTGCTGATATTTCGGGCATTTATGTAAGCTTTAAGAATGGAATTCCGTTCCCTGTTTTTAATTCATTCAATTTTCTCTCTTTATACAAAAAAAAAAAAAATAGATCACTCGAGACGAAAAGAACTATCCGCAAAAAATATGCACCATATGTTTATCGTATTTAAAACACGCCGTTGTCTTTCGAAGACAGGTCATTAGCAATGATCGTTGTATGCGACAACAAACCTTCTATCCCGGCACTGAGCCATACAATATAAAAATGCTAATGCCGAATGAATTCAATAATGTTGGTGATGATATAAATTCAGCGCCAGAGGACATAACATTTGACAGTCTAAAATTGGAAATCGAAGAAGCATTCGGTGGTGAATGTATTGATTCGGATGAAGATGATGCCGACGAACCCCCAGTCTCGAATACACTTTTCAATTATAAAGAAAAAAGTTTTACCGAAGACGATATTACGGATTTTGTAAACGGTTCGGTGATTATAACCATACCTGATGAAATGCGTGAACGAAAATGTGACGCATGCAAACAACGATTCATGTTAAAAGAATCGTTTGACCAACACTTGAAAGAGTGCATTGAATTGAAATTAAACAAATTCATCATGGAAGGCTATCAATTATTATCAATGCGAAAATCTCGTGCTCTCTCTGCAAACGAATTCAATCGACGAATGATTTTTGCACTGAAAAAAATGGTCAAATCGTTGACATCATGCTATAAAGAAGTATCAGAAAGTCCATCGACAAATCTTGACGATAAAACTATAAAGAAAAATAATGTATTAGATTCATGCGATATTTTATCAAAATCGAAAAAAGCCGTAAACACAGACACCGAACAAACACAATTGTCATCATTACGATTTCCAAATTTATGGAGTTCATTGGAGGGCAAACCAAACGTTAGCATACAAAAGAATCATTTGCTGGAAAATAATCAACATAGTTTTGTCACGACTGAAAACGGTGAAAACCATGACCAAATTAATACGGCATTAAGTAGTACACCAATTTCAAATCATTTTAAATCAATTGACAACAGCAATGGCAACGACGAATCAATGCCAGATTCATTATTACAATTTAAGAAGACTCACGAAAAACTAAAACATCGAAATCGAATCGATTTCAGTACAATTGTTGCACAATGCAGCCAATGTAATCAATCATTTTCTTCATTACAACAGTTCGAAGAGCATATTCGCAAGAATCACAACACAACATCATCTCAGCCATCAGATATTGTAATTTTTAAATTCGATATTTATGATTCACATTTGTGCTTCATGGTGTGGTTTTTTTTCTTTTCTTTATTATTTTCAGAACCCAGGACAGTCTCCATTGACCGTCGATGAACGCAACGACACACTGAATTCAGACGAACGAAATACATTGCTGCAAATGTTAACCAATGCAACCATCAAATTTTGACATGATACAAAACATTCATGAAATTCCGCTGTTTTACTTAAAATCTACATTCGACGATGAGACTGTTTATGTATTGATAAAATACATAATTTCAATAAATTTAAAGTCTCAAAGTTCAAAATACAAATTAAAAAAAAAACATACAAACAACCAAATTATCAATATTTTTCTATCATTGTCGTATCAAAAATAGAACCACCAATTCGGACAATTGAATTTTCAGTAAATTTCAAATGAACGAAAGTTGAATTTACCCATTACAGTTAGTACACAAATAAAAATGAATCCATACCAATAAATTATATGTTTTGTTTTGTTATTTTAATATTACATTGATGAATTCATTTAAATTAAAAAAAAAAAAAACGAAGCAATAAACATCTGCAAAAAGATATGATGACAAACATCGGTTCCTCGATAGGGATATATCACATGCATGAACAATGGCGAACAATACTAAGGTGTCAAATGTGACGTTTGTAGACAGCAAAAAGAGAATACTTTTATCGGGGGTGTGCAGTGAGACCATCAAAAAGAATAGTTGATTCAGTCATAAGGAGTGAAAGAAGAATTTTGAATTTAATTCTAAAACAATGGCAAGTTTAACGTGGATGTTGACGCGAAAATTGCCACAAGACCTCCTGAAATCCGGCTTAAATGTGAACAGTCGCCGAGTACTTTCATCGGTAAATAACCAAGTAGATATCTTCAAAAAAAAATCTATGTATTACATAATAAAAGAATTATACTATAATATGTATCACGCATAATTTTATCGAAAATCGTGATAATTTTAAACGCAATCGATTTCAAATATTACAAGACAAATGATCATGTTTTTTCAGTTTAATATGATAATTTCTGGAGATTAAATAAATAACAGAAGTTTTTTTTTAAGGTTAACCGCAATTTTACAAACAATGGCCAGAGTAGCTCAAGATCCAGCATATTGACATCAAAAGCGGCACAAACTGAGTTAGTAAACAAACTGAGTACCTCAACTGATAAGAAAAATGATTTGTTGTTATCAGTTGGAATATTTATATGGAAATTATTATTATGAGCTACATTTCGAATCTTTAGACTATTGACAAACTCCAAATGGATGCACCAATCCAGATTCATACATGCCACCAATTCACTCTTGGAAGTTATTAAAGTGCCACCATTCGCCGATTCAGTCTCCGAGGGTGATGTAAAGTTAGTATTATATAATGTATGCATATAAAATATCTTAATAAGTCATCGCGAAAATGGTAAAATTATATTAAATAAGTACGTCAACACAATAATTATACAAATAATATTCATTTTCACTTTAAAAGCCAAAGAGTATTTAATATTTTATTTTGTACATAATCATTTATATTATAGAGATAATTTAATATTAAATTTTTATTGATCTTTTATAGGTTTACGTGTAAAGTGGGCGATGAAGTACGTGTTGACGATAACGTAATGGAAATTGAAACTGATAAAACGACCGTCGGTGTTCCAACGCCAGTTAGCGGTATTATCGAAGAGATTTTCGTTCAAGATGGTGATACTGTGAAAGCCGGCCAAGATTTGTTCAAAATAAAACCGGGAGCCGTTAGTGATAAGCCAAAAGCAGCTGCATCACCTGCACCAGAAGCTCCAAAACCTCCCGTTCAAGAAGCACCAAAACCAAGTGCTGCTTCGGTGGCCCCAACACCCACAACACCGCCGCCACCACCACCACCAAGAGTATGCACAAGAAAATATTTTGAAAATGCACAAAACTAATACATAACTTCTTGATATTGAAAGAAAAAGTCGGAAAAATCCATTTTAAATCATTTCAAAAATCCAAAGTTAAATCCAAAAAAAAGAAGGATTTCAAATTCATTGAAACATTTTGTTGAAACTATTTCAGCCGGCACCACCACCACAACCAACTGGACCAGTGTCAACTGTTCCAATAGCCGCTATTCGACATGCTCAAGTTGTTGATGCTACAGTGAAATTGCCTCCAGAAGATTACTCACGTGAAATCACTGGTACAAGAACTGAGCAACGAGTTAAAATGAATCGTATGCGACTAAAAATAGCTCAACGATTGAAGGATGCCCAAAACACCAATGCAATGTTAACTACTTTCAATGAAATTGATATGAGGTAAAAGAAAAACATTGTATATATTTTTTAAAAAAACAAAGTTAATCAAAAATGTGACATTTTCGTTTACAGTTCTATCATGGAATTCCGTAAAGCAAACTTGGATGCGTTTCAGAAAAAATACGGAATCAAATTGGGTTTTATGTCAGTATTTTCGAAAGCAGCTGCATACGCACTACAAGATCAACCAGTCGTTAATGCTGTTATAGATGGAAACGTAATTTCAATTTAGATGAACTTAAATTCGTCATTTTTTAAAGACAATACTCATTTTTCGTTCTGCTTTTTTGTCCATTTAGGAGATTGTGTATCGTGATTATGTTGATATTTCGGTTGCAGTAGCAACACCAAAAGGTCTTGTTGTGCCCGTTATTCGTAACGTAGAAAGCAAGAACTATGCTGATATTGAAATCGCATTAGCTGCACTTGGTGAGAAAGCTCGACGCAATGCCATCGCTGTTGAAGATATGGACGGTGGCACTTTCACAATCAGCAACGGTGGTGTATTTGGTTCACTGATGGGAACACCAATTATTAATCCACCACAAAGTGCGATCTTGGGAATGCATGGCATCTTTGACAGACCGATTGCAGTCAAAGGACAAGTAATAATCATCCACAAATCTTTTCATATACAGTGAATCTAATATTTTTGGTAGACAAAATTTTGCATGACACACTCCACTCACACGCCATTCGTATATGAATCCTATGTTAGTGGAGAGTTTCTCTGCTTAATTTGCTTGTTATTTTGTCTATCAAAAAAATTAGATTCACTGTATACTTTATCACTAATGCTAACTAACTATTTGAATTAGGTTGTCATTCGTCCGATGATGTATGTTGCTCTTACTTATGACCATCGTTTGGTTGATGGACGAGAAGCCGTCATGTTCCTGCGCAAAATCAAGGCGGCCGTTGAAGATCCTCGCATCGTTTTAGCTGGACTCTAAATATTTTACCTATTTTGTTGTCAAATATATCTGGAAATAATACATTCATATTCAATATATGGCTTCTTCCCAACAAAAACAAAACAAAGAAAACTTATCATTTTAGTAAAATAAAGGCACCAACAAACGAATTAACTACAACAAAAAATTAACTCTTTTTCTACGCCACTTATTTTCATTGTTTGTGAAACTATTTAATTGAGTGATTCGTTTAATTTATTGTAGACAAAAGCAAAAATACCATTCATTGTGCGACTTATGTGGTGATTTACCATTGCGCCTACTCGTACACTAAAGAATGCATCTTTTGCCATACAATTTTCAAAATGAATTACACACATAACTTGAGTTAACGGTACTTTCTTTTTGCTTCAACTTTTTTATTTTTATTAGAAATTGACAAATTCAACTTTTTTTTATACTTTTAATTATTTTACTTTATGATAAAATAATTAATTAATCGGGATAATCGGTGAAAGTGATACTACCCCCCCATTTAGAATCAGCTTACACTAGATAAAATTGATTATTAGGAAGAAATATGTAAAAAATTCAAACAACTTTTCAAAAATTCGCTCGTAAACCTACCTTACCCTTATACGATTTTTTTTCTCAGTATTTTATATATTTTTTTCTTTGTTTCTCCACGATTGAAATAAATATAACTTACAATTTCAATTATTTTAAACACCCTTTATAGTTTATACCCAAAATTTATCTACAAGCCAAATAAATATGCATGTATTGCATATCAAATATATTTGTAAATGTATTGCATATCATATAACACAAAAACTATATAATATATGAAAGGGTGAGAATTGAAGTAATATTAAACATCTGTTCATATGCAATTCTTCAAAACTTTAAGTCAAATAGTTCAATTAAGTATATAAACATCTATTAGTATGATGTGTCCATATTTTTTCTTCGACTTAATTTTAAAAAAATTCGGCTTGATTTCGGCTCGCTTCAAAGTCACAGAACAACTATGAATTAAAAATAGTTTTTTGTTCCAGTTTTGTATGACCAACTCCACTCGCATTTATTTTATAAATAGCTTTCATTGGGCTGAATATGACGGGGGGATTTCATAAAGTTTTGAGTCATTATTTGAAGACTGAAAACATTATTGCTCCTCAATTTTCTCAAAAATGCAAAGAAAGTTCACACCAGATAGAATAGCTTTTTGGATATAGTTTTTTTTCGATTTGCTAAGGTTTTTTTATGAAAAAAATTCTTTCAATTTGCTAGGGCTTTTGACGAAAAAAAAAATAAACCCCCCCCTAACCTCTAGGTACGCCGCTGTCTATTACCAATTGTGGACAGGCTAAATTGGCAATTATGGATGGCACAATTTCCTTTACTTTGATGCTGAATGAGATTTTGTTTTCACGTAACTTGCGTGCGCCTATTACACGTTCCGGTTCGAACCACAGTTGTTCGGCAAAAACATTCTTTCCATCGGAGCTTTTCTTGCTGTCATCATCCAACTGATTTTTACCTTTGCTGAGTTGTTTAACTAAACACCAAACTGTTGTGAATGTAAACACAATTAAGATACAACGTTTTATTTTCAATCTTTTCACCATTAATGTTTCCTTCTTTAACTAGTGATTGGGACTGGCGATTACAGTGAAATTCGCCAGCTCTTTTATACAAATATCGAATATATTGGTCGGTTGGTTTTAAAGTGTTATCAAGCCGATGCCAGTCGTTTTATATTTAACCTCAGGTGCAAGTGTGAGAATTGCTTAAACCGGCTATTCAATTACAAGTCAAATGAAACATCAGAAATAAATGTCATTGTGTTATTGCAAAAAATTCATTTCCAATTTACCGAACTGCTATCGTATTCGGCCCAATAAATGCTGTAACTATCACTTGACTCAAGTGATTTGAGTGCGATATTTTTGTATGCGATGTTAATTCAAAACGTATGAATTTAAACGTTTAAAAATGTATAATAACTTACCAATTACCAAATTGATAAAGAAAATGTTCGTTTTGCAATTTTTACTTTATTCAGAAAATTTGATGATAACTTGAATACATATTTATTTAAGTATTTTTGTGATATATTTGTTGGATATGTAAATTCACATGCCGAATTTTAAATTGATTGGAACTATATGTTTTCCATTTTTTGAAATTCTCCTATTAAAGTTCATTTTATTTTCTTGTAAACTGCATAAAATATTGTCATCGTTAATTTTTTTTTTCAACTCAAAAAGTAGTATTTGTTATTCTCGTGCGTATGATATTTTCTTAATTTTGTAATGAATACGTCTATGCGGATACATTTATGATTAAAAAAAGTACATGGAATCATGCTTGTTTTCACCGTCTTGATTCGTTATAAAGAGAATATACGATGTCGCCAATGATTCAGCAACAGCAATTTCCTATTGTTGTGCTCCTTTTTTCACTACTGCTATCATTGTTATGTATGTATTATGTATATATTATCTTGGACTCAATGTTTACTGCGATAAAATTTCAAATTTTTAGCTCTTAGCTCAACATTTTCGCATTGTACAAGTTTTCTCTTTGCGTACGGAACATGTTTTCATAGTGAATTATTATATACACATTAGTGTCAAACTTTTAACATAAATATGAGATATGACTCAGTAGATTGCTTTTCTTTTCCCTTTTATTTCTTCTTATGACAATGAAGCACTTTTTTCTTTCTTTGCTGTTATTTTTTTTTCTGATATTTATTTCCTGTTTTCTTTACTGAATCACTTTTTAATAATTTGGTAAAAAAACAAATCGTACAATAAGTGATTTGATTGCGCAGTTGAATAAAAATGAATTTTCTATCAATTGATTTACGTTTCATTATGGATTTTTTGTCGATGCCATCACTGGCTGAGCCACCTATTTAGCTTTCTTTTAAATTGATTTTTCATTAATTTGCTATGGTTAAACATTTGTTTTTTTTTTTTTTTTATAAGTTTTTCAAAATTCTCATTTTATTGACTAATTTTAAATGATTTTTTTATCGTATTTCAAATTTTATTCGTGATATTGTTAATTTCATAACTTTCATGTGTTAAAACGAATCAGAAATTTTCAACAACCTTCTGTAAAGTCAAACACTTCCCAGCAAACAAAAATGTAACGTTTTTTATCTATTTTAACGTTGAAAAATGTAACGCTTTCACCCATTTCGGTGGTCATTTTCGTGTCAAATGGAAGGTAGATTATAGGCATAAATAGTTTACAATCGATATCAATTTTCTATAGAAAAAAATGATGATTTTTCAACTGTTCTTATAAGACTTCTTCAAAGAACTAACGTTTTTGTTTTACAGTTTTGGATGCCTTTTCGGAGGTGTTGGTGGAAGTGGCTATTTCAGACGCTGAAGAATATCCATGAACATTACATTCAGTTTTGCTTTCGTTGGTTTACATACATTTCTATACACACATAGTATGACTTTGTATGATACAGTTTCTTACTACTTCTTATGTTAATAAACAAAACGATTGGCAAGCGAAGCGAGTGAAAAGGATGAATAAACAAAAAATTCATGGTTATTGAATTTTTGTAAACATTATCGTTATAAGCGTCGTATTTCTTTTCACTCATTGTTTAGATGTATAGAATGGTGTTGTTGTTGTGCGTTTGAAGAAAAAAATCAACACAACATTTCAATGTGAATAAGTTTTCATGGAAAAGAGCATGCGAATGTGTTGTGTTCAAGTAACTCAGATTCGGTTTTTGTATTAGTATTAACACATCGCATCGGCATCTCAATTGAATTTGTATGACATTTGTTGTTGGTCACATTGCCGATTTACAGAATTTAGTTGCTGTCACAACGAAAATCGCATTGGCCCTCATTTTTTTGTTAATTATTTCGCTGCTTTTGGCTTTTATTTTGCTTGGTTCTGTTCAGTGATTGTTGTGCGGTTAATTAGAAATCTAGAATCATTCGCAAACATTGTGTTCGGCATACAATCAAATAAACTCATCATTTATTTTCCGCTCATTCTCAAATCAATATGCATTTTTGTGCGATTTTAAAATAAATGGAAGCATTTACGGTGAATTTTGAGTTTGCTTCTGTTTTTAGTTTAAAATAACAGAACATCCACAAAATAGCAACGTAAGAAATCCAAATTTCATCACCATTTGTGTCAATCGTTCGATCAACGCAGTGAATTAGTTTATTGTATTTTTTTGTGAATATTGCTTCATTGTTTCTAAGAAAGAGAATTCATATCAAAATGTGAAATTCGAATGATCCAAATTGGAATGAAGTGTGCTTGAAAATTGTCACATCATCACATTGAGGCACACATTTGTAACGCAACGAAACGATGATTTAAGACTGTGTGACAAACTGCAAGGATTTTTCGCAAACGAGAATCATTTTGATCGTTGACAGTTTCAGTTCAGACAACATACTCGTTGGGTGAGGTTCAGAATATAAAGTGCATACGATCGATTTGAAGCAAAAGAAAGGTGAAAAATGAAGCGCAAGAAAGAAGGAGAGTATGAAAACACACAAAATAGGACCGTCAAACAAACCCTGAACACCATTTTGCGTCCAAAATTTCGGAAAAGTTTTCGTATTTTAGTGTTCACATGGTGCCTCGCAGCAACGCGCATTTCCACACTGGCCTCATTGTTGCTACTTTATTACGCAAACAAAGCCATCGACCAGGATGAATGCGACGAAAATACAGACTTTTTCGATGGCAATGGCAAAGAGGTAATTTATAATTACTTCCACGATGTACTCTACGGAAACCATCAAAATTTGCCGTTTGAATTTTTGTCGATCGTGAGACGAGCCTGTCCTCGTTTTATTTGGCCCCATCGTCATGGCATGGGAAATGCATTCAATGCAATTGTCGATCAATACATCAAGAATGTTCAAACCAATCTTAACACCTGGTGCAAACACATAAAGAAGTTTTTCACTATGAAACAATACGAGTTGAATCGAATGCTACGGATTCATAGTACTGATGAACAGTTAATCACAGACAAAGATGTTAATCATGCTGTGTCTGCTGTAGTACATCAATATTATGCACGAACAACAGGAATTCGAACGCACAACATGTATATATTGATAGCGGAAGCGGAAAAAATTGGTGTGCCTGTAAATCAGAAATTGAAAAAATACGTCAAAGAAAACTGGTTTGCGTCACTTCGTTTTTTCTTGAAAATTCAACGTGCGATCGACGAATTTCATCGAAATAACAATTATCTCTCACCGACAACGTGGCAGTGTCATTGGTGTACATCGAACCAATAAAACCTGAGTCGATCGGATTATCATGGGAACGAATTCGTCACATGTTCGAAGTTCTCAAGTGTTTCGTTTATGAAATTGGCATTGATCCGGGTTTTCGCACATGGAATGCCACTGTTCGTCGTCACATTGAAACCGACATAGAGGTAAATATTTCAAATGTGTTTTTTTGTATCCCCAGTTATTAGTGATTTTGATGTGTTGAATTGATTGTATCGAAACAATGCCATATTCATTCAATTTATTTGTATGGTTTTTTTTTGTCGTTTTTGTGCTATAGGAAAACATCACCGTTGACGCAAGAGAATACCACTGGCTGGCTCGATACAATCAGCGCGAGAAAAAAGGAAAAAGATATCGAAAGGAATTCCAGGAAGAGGAAAGAGCGCACATGGAATCGTTCATTTTCATGCCATCTCCAAAAGGAAAATTTGTTTGGAAATTCTACATCGAAACTCGAGTCGCAATGATGGACAAAGCCCTTACTGTGTATTCGCAACGAAAATATGTTCGGTTAAAATTCGATCATTACTCTGATTCTGTTCATGCAAGTGATGAAACAGCCAAAATACAGCTGCGAACTCACCTATCGGCATTAAAAAACGTCAACGATGTCCGGGCACACGCAAACTGGTGGCCAGTTTCAAGAAACTAGGAAATGTTGTCATCAAATTCATTGACGAATGGAATACATCACAGCATTGCGCCAAATGTATCAATCGTTTTGATCCACGTACGAAGAGTCATCGCTTCAAAGTATGCCACAACTGCCTGCAGACTGGATATCAAGTACGAGACGGTGTTATGATTTTGCCAAAGGTTATCATCACAAAAATGAGTAAGCGACAAATGCAACGTCTTCGCAAACGAAAGCGATTGGAACAAGCTGCCCAGCCAAACAATGTTGTTCAGCCAATTGTTGCATATCCAAATCCACCACAACCACGTTTAGTTCCCAAAATCGTAGTATTATTCAAAATGGAACTAAATGACGCCGGTGAATGGGTATATGTAGCAATGCAAACCAAAACCGTTTGGGACCGGGACATAGTTGCGGCCAAATGTATCATGTACAAAGGTAATCGAAATTGATTTATTAGATTTTGTTTGAATGTTTATTATTTGGTTCGTTGTGTTTTCAATGATAGGCCATTGTGAGGTGTTCGGTGAAGAAATCCATGCATCACTGAAACGTCCACGACCACCACCTCATGTCCAGTTACCTGATGAGCCAGCCGATGAAGACGACAATTGGTACGACGAATGGTTCTATGAGAACTACGACGAGTGGTACAACGTAGCGGATAACGGCGAAGGCATTTGGGGGGAAGACCAGTTTGGAAATATCATTGTGCATATGCTTGACAATTAATAAACAAACACCGACGTCGTTTAGTATTAAGATTAGAAAAAATAATGTAACAAATGTTACTTAGCTAGGCTTGATTTAGTATACATAAGTGTGCTATCTGTGGCCTTGCAAACTAATTAGATAATAATTAGGTCTTGATGAATCCAATTTTGGATCATTGGGATAGTCGTACAACTGCACCGCGTACATCTCGTACGTTTGTAGGTGAGTAGAGTTCATTGAAAAAAGCGCTACTGATAACTATGAATCAAATCAACTTTTATATTATACTAATTGATTTTTTTCTCTTTTTCTCTTCCATTGGTGACGTTGAATATGACTGAAACTACACACAAATCCGGGCCCAATTTTGACTGTGAACATATGCCTGGAATGGATGATTTTGCGCCAACAATTGTTCCTTGGGTTATTTGATAGATGCAAACACATCGAATTTGTGCCATTTTTAAATAAAAATATTTTTCATTTTATATATTAATTTGTAACAAAAAACCCGAAAATATAGCCAGTCATTTTAATTTTAGTGTTGAATAATTTTGAATTCGAATTGCTGACCAATGTCAATTTTTCTAAATCTCAAAGAAAATGATTTAAATGTTTATATTCATTTTAAAAATTTTAACGTTTGCAAGAAATAAATATTTTTATTTAATAATGTTTTGGAAATAAAATGTTGATATTTTACAGAAAATCGTGGAAACAATGCCCAAAAATTGGCTCCGAAAACTGCTGTAATATTAAAATTTGTTTTTATGAAATTTAATTTGTAGAGAATGATTTTTTTCCAACAATTTTTGTTTTCCGAAAGAAATTTTTTAGTAAAAGTACTACTTATTTTATGAATCAAGAGTAATGCGAATATCATGTTTACGAATTGTGTTAGTTGGCCTAAATTCCATTTGATAAAATATATATAGTATACCGAATACTGTATTTAATGATTAACTGAACAATTTTACTGTGTATTGAAGTTAATTTTAACAACAAGCGCTTAAATCGACTAACGTTTGTTTCTGAATGAACTTAGAATGTGAAAGTGATTTTGTATGTAAAATGCTTTCGAGAATAAACTTTTAGCACATAAAAAATGATTTTTTTAATCCGATTTAGAATTCGTACAAACCAGAATATTTAAAGTCAAAAGATGTTTTCTTCTCATTGTTGTAGTTGATAAAATTTAAACCATAAATTTAAATCAAATATTCTTTGCAAATATAATTACGAGATTGTTAATCTATTTTCCAGGAGAAACGGTTTGAAATAAAAATAGAGAGCGTTATTTGTTTATATTTTTCTGTACTAAAAAGAAACTGTCATTAATGCCATTCAAACTTAAATTTACGAAAGAAAAAGAATGCGAGTAATATTTTGTATCAACCAAAAGAAAAAAGATGGAAGAACGTAATTCCGTTGTTGAAAAAGGCAATATGAGAGTGGAAAAAAATTTAGGGTACAAACAAAATGTCTGTATTTAATTCGGTTCCTTATGTACGCGACACACACCACATTTGTATCGTATAAACGACATACAGTCGGGGTATATCGTTTTAAGTATGCATTGGTTATTATATAATATAGTTATGTCTATAGTTTAAAATGATGTACGCGACTTGAAAACGGGGAAGACGTTTATTAAATGCAATGTAATTGTACGGTTCACATTGATGTTGAGAATTCTGATTGCTTGTCATTTAACATTTATATTGTAGAACGCACATTTTGAGACGAGAAAAGAGAAGATGAAGAAATGGAAAAAACAAATTGAGAACAAGATTTTTTATGGTTTGTCAAAAAAATATATAGGAAGTCTAGTAAATAGAATTTTTGCCTCGATGCCGCATACACGCGCCCCTGCTGATTTCGATAAATTTTCTTTTGGCATAATGTACCAGACAATATATTGAACTAACTGGTCATTTGAGCTGACAGTACGTTAGCCAGCTTAATGGACTAAAACAATACAAGTTATTGTTTTAATGAACAATCACTGCTATTAAAACAAGAAAAGTGATTCATCATTAAAACAATAACGTCTATTGTTTTAGCCCATTTAGCTGGCTAACGTACTGTCAGCTCAACTGACCAGTTAGTTAAATATATTGTCTGTAATGTACACGGTTTTTATGATGTGCGTTTCACATTTTTTTTAAAGTAAGATTGACTTTAGTATCTTCACCAAATCTGTATGACAAAAGAAGCAGCTTATTCATTAGAAAGTTACAAAGGATCGTTGGCATTGTTTCCGTTGTGGTCTTTTCATTGTTTTGGCTATATAATTTTTCTTGTAATTTGGCAAAGAACTACAAAGACATTAATAATATTATCGCTGGTATGCATATATATATGAACCGTCTCTTTATTCCCCTCCCTATTTAATATTTTGTTCGGCGTTTTCGCTTGTAAATTTTGCGTGGTTGGCTATCGAAATATCGGTTGAAATAATTTTCAGTGTCGACAGCTGCATTTGGTAAGTTTTTGGGTATGAGCGTATAATAATAATAATAATAATAATAATAATAATAATAGCAGTAAGAAGCGTATATCATGTTTGTGCGTTTGGCGAAGCAATAGTATAAAATACCAAACTCCTTTTCGTATTATTTTGGCAGATGAAGAGCATATCACCACCATTACGCATAACCATTGGTTGTACGATATGCGTTTTTGTTAATATTGAAATCAATAAGGAATTACTTAACATTTCGTCTATTTTTGGTCGTTTTATTATTGTTTAATGTGGCGCGCGATAGCGACCAAGATTCACGTGATACGGGCACATTCAAAATTATTGAAGCGTTCTCATGTTGTCTTCATGTTTTCTGTTTGAGTTTTTGAGTGTTCTCTGTATCGTCTTATTGCTGTTTATCATCTGACCAGTAAAATCAGTAATAAAAGTCTGTATTTTGAGAACGCTCTTTCTATTGAATTTATAGCACATTAGATGGTAGACAACGTCCATCGTATGTATGTGTGTGTGAATGTGTGTTTGTTTTCGTGCATTTGTATGTGTGTCTTTGTGGTACGGGCTATGGATTTTTTTTTCTAAAATCATAGAAATGACTAACCATACCCCCTACGTTAACTTGAACTAGTACTCTCAGAGACTTTTCAAAGAAAATAATCTGAAATCTGGCTAACCTTATATTTCAATATGTTGTTCAATGTTCAATCTAACATGCACAAAAAGTTGCTATATATGCTTGCATTTTCCTGTCAGTATGGACTATGCTCGTTTGATCTACAACTGTAATGGTCTCCATAATGTCGAGTGAACGCAAGACGACATCGATTCCTTGATGTGATGCAAAGCATCAAGTCAAATTAAGACGTACGTTTTTCATTATATGTCCAAACAAACGAGAGAAAGAAAGAAAGAAAGAAAAAAAACGATTAGAAATGTGAAAAATGTATAGAACGAACGATGAAAGAGATGTACAAAACGGTAGGAAGGTTAAATGCTTTTTAATTAAATATTTATCGCAGCAAGTGGAGCCCATAAAATAAACTGTGTATTTCCAGGCCATAACAGTGAATGTGCGTGCGCCTTCGACAATGGTGCGAAATAGAATATTGATGAACATACAAGATGATTGCAAAATTGAACGAACAATATTTACGTTGAACGAATTGAAATGTCGCAATGCTCTTTGAACATTTTGAAGTGAAATCGAAGTATGGCCAAAAATGTTTTATATGCTTAATTTCATTTGTCTGATGCCATCTCAAATGAATTGAAGCAGCATTCAATTATCTAGAAAATAGTATTCGATTTGTGAGACATTAGAAAATGCGTCTTCTTTAAGCAACAAATAGAAAATTTTGTCCTCTTTTTTCTTCTCAATTGTATGTTTAACACAATTATTCATGAATTTATTGTCCGAAATAATAATAATACAGATTGTGTGTGAGTCGTTCAAATTCTGTAGTCAGTTTTGTTTTTTAGTCGTTGAAATTTTGGTCAAATGTTTTAATTGTTTTTTTTTTTTTTTTTTTTTTTTTTCAAATGTTCATATTCATGTGAATGTTGACCTGTAATGGGATAAAATGATCGGTTATTATGAGTGTGGCGAGAATAATTCTATAATATTAATTTTTCTATAATATTTTCTAAATAGTAGCCTCGACCGACCAGACCACAGCGATTGTGTACACGTAAATGGAACGTTTATGTGTTATTTGTATCATTTATATTGTTTTTTTTTTGTCTCTGGATCCTTTTGAAATCAAATCGTAGTAAAAAAAATGGAAATCGATGCAATAATTTCGTTTGTTTTTAATTTTAATGTTAGCATTTTGTAAATTTTATGTTTTTAAGTTCGAGCAATTCATGTGTTACATTTCAAATATGATAAATATTCAAATTTTGTTTCTTTTTTTCGGTGAAATTCTTCGAATATTGCGAACTATAGTTGATTCTCATGACATGTTACAACTCTTGTTAAAAAGGTTGATGCACATAAATCCAAAAAGAAATTTTTTTATCAATTATGGTACACAGTCAATCTGGCACAGTCTGAATGTAAGATTGAGTTTATAATTTGAATGGATCAGATTTTCATTTAAAAATATTTTCCCAGATATTTCATTTTCAGTCGCAGCTAAAATTTTGTTTTCAATACATAATTGCATTTTGAAATTATAATTCATCTATACTGGCTAAATGTCAATCTAAATCTGATAATTGACAACAATTTTAAACGTCATGTTCAAACCGTATTTGCAGTAGATAAAATTTCGTTTGGCTAAATAAGACATTTGAATGAAAAGCGGACAAATTAGTAAATTTCTTCTTTTTTTGTTTTGTTTTGCTTTCGTTTGTTTTTGGATTGACTTGGATCGGATAGTTTTGTTGATTGCGTTTGTTCGAAATGTACACTTAATGTGTGTGTTGCGGATTGGTTTACAATAAAAAAAAGGATTTGTAATTTTAAAATGTGTGTTGTGACATGAAAATAAAACGATTCGGTCGTTATTAAAAAGTTTTGCAGCTTTTAGCACTATCTAAGTATTTAAGTGGTGTGAAATGTAACTAGTAGTAAGAAATGCCAAAAATCCTGTGCTAAAAGAAATTGATTGGTACTGTTGTTTTGAATGTTGTACGTATTGCAAAATACGTTATACTTCATACTGTGTTTTAAGTTTCGTTTCGATATTGGACATGAAAAGAAAACTTTCTAATAACAAGCTAAAAAAAAATCATCATAAATTTTGAGAAAATATACTTAAATGAAACGCCGATTGCGTTATAACTGCGTTCCATTCGGCTGTTTTACTTATGAAGATGCGTGGAAAAAGTATGTGTGTGTATGCGTGTTTTTTTCTTTTCTTTTTTTTTGGTTTCAGTTTACCGTATACAATAGGATAAACAAAATTATACTTATGAAATGAGTGATTCTCCTCTCTGTGCTCGCTGCAGGTACATTCGTTTCCGTTTATATTCTGGCCGTTGGTTATATTTAAATTGTGTTTTTTTTATCTACCGCGTGCTAATATCTTGAAAACACTCTGC